TTTCACAGAAATATTCATTTTTACTGCTTTGGTGTTTCCTACCTTTATGCTGTCATTTTTGATCTCCATATTAAATATTAAAGAGTTCCTTTAATATTTCTTTCAGGGCTGGTTTAGCGGTCATGAACGCCTTTACTTTTTGTTTGTTTGGGAAACTCTTTAATCTCTCCTTCTCTTCTGAATAATAGCCTTGCTGGAGAGAGTATTCTTGGCTCCAAATTTTTCCCATTCAGCACTTGGAATACATCATGCCACTCTCTTCTGATTTGTAAAGCTTCTGTTGAAAAATTTCCTCCTAACCTTATGGGTTTTCCCTTGTAAATTTCCATCTTCTTTTGCCTTGCTGCTTTTAAATTTTTTTATCACTATCTTTTGCCAATTTAATTACAATATATCTTTGTGTGGGTCTGCTTTTGTTAATTTTGTTGGGAGCTGAGATCAAGAATTGGACACTTAACCGACTGAGCCACCCTGGCACCCCTAAACCAGAATCTTCTTTTTTTTCTAAAGATTTTACTTATTTATTCATGAGAGACACAGCGAGACAGAGGCAGAGACACAGGCAAGAGAGAAACAGGCTCCATGAAGGGAGCCAGATGCAGGACTCGATCCCAGGACTCTGGGATCACACTCTGAACCGAAGGCAGACGGCTCAGCTGCTGAGCCACCCATGCATCCCACTAGAATCTTCTTTTAAATTGTATGGAACCTATTCATTATCCCTAAAGGAGAAACATATTCTCAGCCTTATTCTTTCTTGAGTTAATAAGGAAGTCTTCTACATCCCAAGGAAATGGTTTGTAATCTACACAGAAATGAATTTACAAAGATAACAATCATAATCACAACACTAATCATTACAGCTAACTTGTTATTAAAACCTAAATGTCCAGGGGTACCTGGGTGGCTCAGTGGTTGAGTGTCTGCATTTGGCTCAGGTCGTGATCCCGGGGTCCTGGGATTGAGTCCCACATCAGGCTCCCTGCAGGGAGCCTGCTTCCCCCTCTGCCTATGTCTCTCTCTTTCTCATGAATAAATAAATAAAATCTTTAAAATAAATAAATAAATAAATAAATAAATAAATAAATAAATAAATAAATCCTAGATGCCCCAATATAGAAAACCACTTAAGTAATTATAGATTAAGGGGACACCTGGGTGGCTCAGTAGTTGAGCGTCTACCTTTGGCTCAGGGCGTGCTCCTGGAGTCCCAGGATCGAGTCCCTCATCAGGCTCTCTGCATGGAGCCTGCTTCTCCCTCTTCCTGTGTCTCTGCCTCTCTCTCTGTGTCTCTCATGAATAAATAAATTCTTTTTTAAAAAAAGTAATTATAGGGCAGCCCAGGTGGCTCAACGGTTTAGCACCGCCTTCAGCTCAGGGCGGGATCCTGGAGACCCTGGATCGAGTCCCACGGCGGGCTCCCTGCGTGGAGCCTATTTCTCCCTCTGCCTGTGTCTCTGCCTCTGTGTCTCTCATGAGTAAATAAATAAAATCTTAAATAAATAAATAAAATCTTAAATAAATAAATAAAGTAATTATAGATTATGAAATATTGTTAACATTTAGAGGTTTGGTATCATGCTCAGTGTAAGATGTTAGGTCTGAGAAAAGCAGGATAAAAATCTATATATATGGTTAAAATATGAATACACATATGTATATACAAAAAGACTGGAAGGAAATGAAGTATACCGAAATTTTAATTGTGCTTTCTTTTTTAAATACTTAGATAAACCTTTTATTTTTAAAGTTTTCAATTTACAGAAAAGTTGCAAAATAACAGATTTTCTGTATATCCAGCACATAATTTGTCCTTTTGTTAGTATCTTACATTACTATGGCACATTTGTCACAACTAATGAACCAATATTGTATATTAGTATTAAGTAAACTCCATACTCTGTCCAGATTTCTGTAGTTTTTCCTCAATGCCCTTTTTCTGTTCAAGTATCCCATCTAAGATACCATATTACATTTAGTCATGTCTCCTTAGGCTCTTCCTGGCTGTGATGGTTTCTCAGACATTTTGTTTTTGATGGCCTTGACAGTTGTATTGCAGTCAGGTGTTTTGCAGAACATCCCTTAATTTGGACATGCTTAATGCTTTTCTCATGATCAGCCTAGAGTTATAGTTCTGGGGAGGAAGACTGCAGAGGTGAAGTGCCACTTTCAGCATGTCAGTCATATCAAGGTTATATGGAATCAACACAATTTATCGCTGATGTTTACTTGGCTAAGGTAGTGTTTGTTACCCTTCTCCATTCCAGAGTTACTCCCTGTCCCCCTTTCCATAACGTACACTTTGGTAATGAGTAATTAAGTATAGCTGCCTGCCTTTTGACTACTTTATAGTTTTCAGTATTTCCTAAGTTTCTACAATAAACATATATTATCTTTAAAGAAAAAAAGCCATAAACCAATTTTAAATCCTATTTCTTTCTTTCTTTTTTAAAATTTTTTTTAACTTATTTATTTATGATAGTCACACAGAGAGAGAGAGAAAGGCAGAGACACAGGCAGAGGGAGAAGCAGGCTCCATGCAGGGAGCCCTGCGGGGACTCCATCCCGGGGCTCCAGGATCATGCCCTGGACTGAAAGCGGCGCTAAACCCGCTGAGCCACTCAGGGGTCCCCTCCTCATATTTCAAGTCCTATCTGAAATGCCACTTCTTGTAAGTCCTCCCCACCTCTCCACCAAGTTAGATGTGGTTTGTCCCATCCTTATATAATAATGACCCTTTGACACTTTTATTCTGTTTTACTTCTACACTAGAATGTTATTTCCCCCACTTGTTTATACAGCCATCTTACTTCAGAAGGGACTAAAGGAGGGGCTCCTCTCCCCCTTGGGTCCACTGCAAGGGCCCAGTCTACAAGGGACATGGTCATCCACTCTCTTAACATCTTTTTGTTTCTGTCCTGAGGCTCTCTCAGAGAAGCCTGCTCCAGACTCTTTGGGGACACTCGGTATTCCAGCATGATAAACAGTGAAGAAATTACTTTGGAGAGTATAGTTAAACCAGTCTGGTTTTTCTTGCCCATGTGCCAAGGAAAACATGCAGAAAGCACAATCAGTAGTACAAAGAGAGAAAGCCACCTGCCTGCCATTACATTCTTGGCCATGGGCAGAGGAGGCATCCCTGAGCTGGCTGAGGTGAGTGGAGACTAGAAAGTATAAGCACTACATTTTCTTCGTGTAAAAAACAAACAATCTTCAACTCTTTCATACCTTTTTGCTTCTTTTGGCTCTCAATTTTCTTCTGTTTTAGTTCTGGCTTGGTAGAGCCAGAGACCACAAGCCTCTATTTAGCACCCTTACTAAGAGCTTATTTTTTTCACGATGACATTTGATTTATTTAGGTGCTGTCTGAATCTGAATTTACATTAATGTAGCAATTTAGAAAATTCAATGATAAAACAGAAGAGGAAGGGAAATATAAATTATAGAAATCATAATCCATATTAAGAAAAAAAGATCAAGTTGCCATGTTTACATCTTAATAATCTGCCTGTTCTTTTTCTGTAATTGTAAATATGTTTCCAAATATTATTTGTAAATATTATCTTGATTACCTCTCCACTCCGGAAGTTTAGTCTTATGGCCCATGGATGTAATCATCAATTTCTAAACCTTTCTGGTTAATTATGAGAAACAACCTTGCTAGTTTATAATGCCCAATATGCATATATCTGAATTTTCATTACTAGGGTGGAGAGTTTTAGATAGATATTGGGGTCATCTTTCTTTAACTAAAGAACTGTTAATAGCAATCATTGGCTCTCACAGACTGTATTTGCTTTAAAATGTTGTGAACAAGAGCTTGTGCTTGCACATATTCTTTCACCTGCCTCCCATAGTTGTGAAGATTAAATGATTGACGTACAGTTGGTGCCCTGGAAGCATATTTCCTTCCCCAGCTGCTCTTCTCCTTCCTGGACTGAAACCATTGTCACTCCCATGTGTTGCCGTGGCATAAGGTTTATGTAAAATAAAAGCTGCCTCTTCCCACCACTTACTTGTTTTGCAAAATCAATATTTTTTAACTGACATTTATGCAACAAAATGCCTTTTTTTCATTGGTATGTATATGCATGTGAAAGCATAATATGTGAAAGGACACACATGAAGATCCTCACAAAGGTTATTTTGTGGAGTATGACAGCCCAGTGATCAATGGGCCACTTTGGCTAGAAGATTATTTTGAGCTGAAGGCCATCAAGGCCCTACGGGCTCAAGAGAAACTCTCGTTCCTCAACTATGGAAGAATCTAAACTGAGGGTCTTTACCAGGATGAGGGTTATCAACAGAGATAAATTTGATCTGAGTGACCCATCGGTATGGCAGGGAAAATTATCTAATCACCAAACACCTGATCTTTTTATTGCTCTGTGAATTGCATTCCTTCCCTTCCAAGTCCTAGACCCCTAACCTTTCCTCCTTAACTCAGAATGATGTACAGACCTCATGTTGCCTGACTGACTTTGGAACTTCCATGTCTGTGTGGATTTTCTGTGCATATGCTATCGGATTTGATTTTCTCTGTTCATCTATCTCTTGTCAATGTGATTCTTAGTCCAGCTAGAAGGACACATGACAGGACAGGAATTCTGCTCCCTGACAGTGGTGACAGCAGGGAGAGCACTGGAAGTAGGTGGCAGCTTCACCTGTAATGTTCCAATATTTAACCTTTAAAAAGCTGCTTATTCTTAGGCTCTCTTTTCATTCCTGACATAATTTGTATGGAGACGATTTTTAATGGTAATGGCATTTAAAGAGAAAGGAATAGGGGATCCCTGGGTGGCTCAGTGGTTTAGCGCCTGCCTTTGGCCCAGGGCGCGATCCTGGAGTCCCGGGGTCGAGTCCCGCATCGGGCTCCTGGCATGGAGCCTGCTTCTCCCTCCTCCTGTGTCTCTGCCTCTCTCTCTCTATGTCTATCATAAATAATAAACAAATAAATATTTAAAAAAAATAAAGAGAAAGGAATAAAAACCCAAAAAGTGTTATCATGACACAATGGATGAACTGTTTTTAATTGCTGCTGCTTAGCATACATTAGTCTCATCCTCCTAACCTGCAGATAATGGGTTATCTTTTCAGGAGAGTCCCCCTAACTTTTCCCCACCCAAGTGTTTGTGGAAGAAAGTCTGGAGCTGCTTCCAAGCATCCACCTGGGCCATGGCATGAGCCCTGGGCTCCCCTCCCCAGATGACAGGACCACCCACCAAGGTGTGTAGGGAAGCCTGGCACATGGGGAAGTAAGGAGGCTCAATGTAGTGCCCTGCCATAGGGTAACAGATGATCTGGGGCTGCTCCCTACCATGGGCCTGTAAGCGCTTAGAGGCCTCGTTAGCATAGAATTCACTCTTCCAGTTGTGGTCATCCAGACCTACAAGGAACAGGAAGGCACTCTCAGCCCTTTCCACGGGAATGAAACTCTTCTGGTCAGCTCCTTCCAAAGGGCTATTCAGGACATCCAAAATGTCTGCCAAGCCGTCTTTGGTCACCCTCATTCGATTTGGGTCTAGGCCCACAGCAGGCAGGATCTCATCCTTGTAGTGTAAGGTTCCCCCAACATTGGCCACGGAGCCATTGATTATGACGGAGGCAGTGATGCCCTTCAGAAATGAGGCCATGGAGAGGCAGAGCTCACCTCCTTTGGAACTGCCAAGCAGCCCGACTCCCGGACCCTTTACCTGAGAAAAGGACAGAGGAGGAAGGAGAATGAGACCATGAACAGTGCAATTGATGAGCAGTGCCCAGAATTGGAAAGTAGGTAGAAATAAGCCTGAATCTGGGCTCTACTATTTGCCAGCTTTTGCAACCTTACAGTATTGACTTATTCTTTCCCTCTTATCTTCCTTTCTGCAATTAATTGCTCCATCATCATTCTTGGTGATTTAAACAACCATGTAGAGGATATACTAGATACTTTGGCTTCTCAGCATCCATGTTTCTCATCCATCCTGCCTCATTTCACTTAAGTTTGCTTTCCACTTCTCCAGAAGACCATATCACATCTCTCCTACAACCTCAAACCTTTTGACCTTTAACCCTGCTCCCTTTCACTGTCAGCTCTTCATACCAGCTGGAGAAAATAAAGCTTTCCAGTAGGAGAACTCCTCCTCTTTTCCCCCTGCAGGATCTACTTAGTTCCACAGGAGCTCAAGTTCTCTGCCTTCTCTTGGGTTTCCAAACTCCCTCTGTGCTTATTAGAGGCCCCCCTGATGCTTGCACTTGGTATCTCCTCCACTCTCATTCTCCAGGACTTGCCGCTGCAATCATATCAGCTCTCTCCTTCTTCGTCACTTTCTTCTGTACTGGCCCATTCCCATGGGCATACTTACTGCTCTCTTTTCACAACAAACCCTCGCCCTCACATCCACTCTGCCCTAGTTTTCTGCTCTCATTTACAGCAAATTTGTGGGGACCAGTTATCTAAGTTGTTCTTTTTGTCTTCCCTTCTTTACCCAAATCCTCTCAGGGTAGTTTGGGTCTGTGCTATTCCGCAAGGACTGCTCTTGCCAACATTACCAACATCTCCTATTACAAATGGCCATCTGATTCACCTCTCAACAGCAGTCTTCTTTTCCTTATGGGCTTCTTCTACAATAGCACCCTTGATTGGTTTCAACCATTTATTCCTTCTAGAGGAAAAGCACTAGAAATTAAATGATATATTATTATCATCTCAACTTTTCAGAGGAGGAAAAAGCAAGTTCAAGGGGCTAGTTTGCAATTTGTGAATCAAAACTTACATTTAACTCTTGTCTATCCACGTTCATGCTGGTGCCACTGCACCATATCACCTTTTCTAAGAGTTCCAAAGCCTCCTGTCCACTGAGCTCTGAACTCTAAAATAAGCAAGGCTTATCTCCTGATCCTCGGATACCCTGAGCCCTATAACCCTCAAAACACTTCTGATTACTCCAGTTCTTTGGCTGCCCAGTTCTTTTAACCTACTGCCTTCTGGAGATAGTGATTCCCTTCCCCTTTCCCTCTACTTCCTATATCCTGTTTCAAACATGTCTGGGCCTATTATGATATACTATAAAATACTGGGGTTTAAAATTCCAAACCAACTAAGAACATATTTACTAGCAGGAAATATGAGAACATAAAATTGCATAGAAACTGTCTATGAGAAGTGACTCTAAATGGTAGTAGCTTGCGTTAGGGACTGGGAGGGGCTGTAGTGAATTTATCACATTCTGTGAAAATTAAGAGCAGTTATGAGGACATCTGATACGTAGATCATAAAACCTAAAGAAGTTCCAACCTGAGGGTGATCCAGAAGGTAGTTCACAGCTTCTTCAAAGTACTCCAGGTGGAGGATCTCCAGGCCCTTGGGGAGATCTTCATAGTTATGGTAAGCCAGAGCCATCACAGCAAAACCCTTGCCAGCCAACAGACTAGCTCGATATTCCAGAAGGCCACTTCCAACTCCGTAAATGTCCACAATCCCTGGAAAGGGCCCAGGTTCTTTGGAAGAAACAAAACACAAAGATGAACTATTCCTGAAACTCTCTGCAGTGTAGTCAAAAGCCATGTGTGGTCTACGTGGTGATGTCAGAGTTTTCTATTGACAATCAGAAATGCTAGACAACCTCTGGTCTTCAAAGATCCAGTGGCATAGGCTCAATCCACATTTCCCCTATACCCAGCACCTCAAAGCCTCACAGATTTTTTTACAGAAAACATGCCTTACTTTTGTAATTAAAAATAACTTATAATGAAAAAGCAAAATCATTACCCTCTCCCCACCTCCAAAGCTGACACTACCAAATGCTAGAGAGCATGTAGAGCAAGTGGAGTCCTCATAAATTGCTGGTGGAAATGCAAAATGATACAGCCACTTTGGAAAACAGTTGGGCCATTTCTTATAAAGTTAAACACTTACCATATGATTTAGCAATCCCATTCCTTGGTATTCACGCAAGAGAAGTGAAAATTTGTATTCACACAAAAGTGCATATGCAAGAGTTTGTAGTAACTTTATTCATAATCTCCAAAGACTTGAAACCCAGCCTGAAACTCAATCCTTCAACTGTTGAGCCAATAAAACTGCTTTTGTTTTGTTTTAAAGACTTTATTTGAGAGAGCGAGTGAGCGCGCAGGGGTTGGGGTAGGGGCAGAGGGAGAGGGAGAAGCAGACACTCCCGGCTGAGCAGGAAGCCTGTTGTGGGGCTCAATCCCAGACCCCAGGACCCTGGGATCATGACCTGAGCCAAAGACAGATGCCTAATCAACTGAGCCACCCAGGCGCCCCCCACCTTTTTGATCACTTTAAAAAATATATTTTTTACTTATTTGAGAGAGAGAGAGTACAAGCGAGGGGCAAAGGGCCGGGGAGAGGGAGAATGAATGAATAAAACTGAAGTGCACCCGCAGAATGGAGGGAGTAGTAATAAGAAATAAGAAAGAACTATTGGCTATATGGAGCATAAATGAATCTCAAATGCATTAACCTAGACTCAAAAGGCTGCATACTCTTATGATTCCATTTATTGGACATTTTCACTATTATGTAAAAAGCTTCTATTTAGGGGCACCTGGGTGGCTCAAGTGGTTAAGCATCTGACTCTTGATTTCAATTCAGGTCATGATCTCAGGGTCCTGGAATCGAGCCCCACATTGGGCTCCACGCTCAGTGTGCAGTCTGCTTGTCCCTCCCTCTCTCTCTGCTCCTTCCCCGCTTATGGCCTCCTCTGTCTCTCCTAAATAAATAAATAAATAAATAAATAAATAAATAAATAAATAAAATCTTTTTTAAAAGCTTGTATTTAACATGCAAAACCTTAAAAATAATAAAGCAAACACTTTATGCCCAGCATCTTAAGAAATATTACAGAACTATCGAAGCCCTCTGAGTACCTGTGCCCTTCACTCTTTTTCCACTATCCTGTATTTTATTTCTCTCTTGATTTTCTTTATAGTATTATCACTTATATGTGTAACTTAAACAGTATTTTATTTTGCCTATTTTTGGAGTTTTATCTAAACGCAATGATACTGGGACACCTGGGTGGCTCAGTGGTTGAGCATCTGCCTTTGGCTCAGGGCGTGATCCCGGATTCCTAGGATCGAGTCCCACATCTGGCTCCTTGCATGCAGCTTGCTTCTCCTCCCTCTGCCTCTCTCTATGACACTCATGAATAAATAAATTTAAAAAACCTTTTAAACAAAGAAACAAACAAATAAATGTAATGATACTGAATGTGTTCTTCTGGGACTTGATTGTTCCACTCAGTATTCTTTTTGAGATTAGTCCATTTTGATCCTCGTAGCTGCAGGTCCATCATTTCTGCTGCTGTAAACATACCTCAGTATATTCATCAGTTCTCTTGTTGATGGACTTTTGGGCTGTTTCCAATTGTTTTGCTCTTACAAACAATGCCTCTTAGTACACATATACAGGTGTAGAATGATACAAATTTCTTTTTTTTTTTAAAGATGTAATTATTTATTTATTCAGTCATGAGAGACACACAGAGAGAGAGAGGCAGAGACACAGGCAGAGGGAGAAGCAGGCTCCATGCAGGGAGCCCAACGTGGGACTCAGTTCCAGGTCTCCAGGATCACGCCCCCGGCCAAAGGCAGATGCTCAACCGCTGAGCCACCGGGCTGCCCATGATACAAATTTCTAAGTTAAAAATTATTTCCTGGAGTACATGCATAACTATTCCTTTCAGCATCATATGTGGATTCCTTTGACTCCATGTACTTGTCAACAATTGATAATGTCAGACTTTTAAATTTTGGCAAATTTTGAAGGTGTGAAATGTATTGTGTAGCTTTATTTCGCATAAAAAAGATAATGTCTTTTTTTAAGATAATATCTTTTTATGTGTTCATTGGCCAACTGCTTTTCATGTTGCTAAAATTATCCAATATTTTTGCTTTTCAAGTTCATAGCAAGAGGACTTTCTCTGTGCTAATTTTCTTAAACCTTAGTATACTGTGAGAAAAGCAAAGTTATACTGAGGATGATTTTAAAGAATCATTAAAGAGGTGCCTGGCTGTCTCAATCTGTAGAGCAAGGGCCTCTCGATCTGGGGGTTGTGAGTTTGAGTTCCACTTTGGGTATAAAGATCACGTAAAAACAAATTTTTAAAGAAATAATCATTAGGGCACCTGGGTAGCTCAGTTGGTTGAGTGTCTGCCTTCGGCTCAGGTTGTGATCCCAGAGTCCTGTGACAGATCCGGGGTTGGGCTCCGGCCTGTGAGGAGTCTGTTTCTGCCTCTCCCCCTCCCCGTTCTTATGCTCTCACTTCCTCTCTTTTGAATGAATGAATGAATGAATGCATGAATGAATGAGTAAATAAATAAATTCTTTAAAAAAATAATCATTAAAGACTTGGAACTACCTATAAATGTTTTTGTTTTCACTTACAACTGTCTTTTCCGGGATGCTTGGGTTGGGTGGCTCAGTGCTTGAGCGCCTGCCTTGGGCCCAGGGCGTGATCCTGGAGACCCTGGATCGAGTCCCACGTCGGGCTCCCTGCATGGAGCCCGCTTCTCTCTGTGTGTGTCTCTCATTAATAAATAAATAAGACAAAACTGTCCTTTTTTAAAGTTTCCTTACTATGTTTTCTAACTAACCTTCAGTTTTGGAACGGCAGAGCCACGTCCCCACCAGGACCCATCCTGAGGCCCCCACGGAATGTCTCTGCAATGTCAGGAGCTACCTCCTTACTGTGGGTAGAAGTGCAGGAGAAAAGAGAAAGGCAGGCAGGACAGCCTGGGACCCCGGGCGCTCACCTGGGGGCAGGAAGAGCGTGCCCCGCACCCGGCCCGCGCGCACGGGCACCCGCCGCACCCCGGGCCGCAGGAAGTGGCGCTCGTGCAGCGCCCGGCCCAGGAGCCGCCCGGCGTCGGGCTCGTGGCCGTCCAGCACCTCCAGCTCCACGGCGAAGGGCGTCTGCACGTCCCGCTTCACCAGCCGCACCAAGGGCGTCTCAGGCTCCAGGGCCCAGAGCAGCCCCATGGGCTCGAGCCCCACGAAGCTGCCGCCCAGCGCGGGCGCGCGCGCCAGGTCCAGGAGGCCGCGGTCGTCCGCCCGGTAGCGCGCGTGGGCCCGGAAGAGCGCGCCCCTCTCGTCGCGCAGGGACGCGCGCAGCGTGACGGGCTGTCCCGGGGCCAGGCCGCGCACGGAGATGCGCACGGGCTCGTCCCAGGCGCAGCGGCCCGCGGGCTCCACGCTCAGCGTCGCCGAGCCTCGGGCCCCTGCCCACAGCTTTGGAGTCCTCGGCAGGGAGCCCCATCGGCGGAGTCCCGAGGCTCGCAGAATAGCGCCGGCGGAGGCCACCATTTTGCCTCTTGGTTTCAGTCCTGAGTCAGCTGAACTGGGCAGTGGAGAAAGTCAGAAACTGCTCAGCGATCCTCTAGTGGCAGGCTCCGTCATCTGCAAGCTGCGCGCCCAGTGGGGCCGAGTAGCCTGCCAAATTGGGCTTGGAGGGCCAGACTCTTGTCCCACCAGGTCAGAGGCGTACCTTTAAAAGCAAGAGCGAAAATGATACACATGAACTTGCATTACGTACTGAAAAAGCTGCAGTTTACTGGGGGGAGGACTCTCCTAGTTCTGCTTCTCAGAAGCTTGTTGGCCGCACGAGGGCGGGCGCTGAAGTTTCTGGCAGCTAGGAAAGCCTCCAGTCGCCAAATTCTTTTTTTTTTTTCAAATTTTTATTTATTTATTTATGATAGTCACACACAGAGAGAGAGAGAGAGAGAGACAGAGACACAGTCAGAGGGAGAAGCAGGCTCCATGCACCGGGAGCCCGACGTGGGACTCATCCCGGGTCTCCAGGATCGCGCCCCGGGCCAAAGGCAAGCGCCAAACCGCTGCGCCACCCAGGGATCCCCCAGTCGCCAAATTCTTAATGGCTAAGAGGAGTGCAGGATTGGAATGGACTTTGATCAATTTGTTGAGTAATTCGCCCTCGTTAATAATCATAAGTCGTTTCGTTAAAAGTGTGCATCATAGTGTTCTGCTTGTGTATTACCTGTGTAGAGGCTTATCTTCCACACCATCCCCACATTAAAGGGGCCTGGAGTTTTACTAGCTCTGTGACCACAGCTTCTTCCTTACGGGTGTAAAAATACCCAAATGACATCATAGTTATGATACTCCATTGTCATGTTGCTGTATTTAGGCAAATGTCCTCTCCCTCTCATCTGGGAAGGCTCACCTTTTCCCCACTTTCTCATAAACTATGGGTTCCACCCAGTGGTGGATTTTTCATCCAACTTCAGGCTCTTTCTGAAGCCTTGTATTTGATTTTACATTCATGATTTTTTTCATATTCTTTTTATTAAAGAAACCTGCAAATTGTGTAAGCTTGTTTCAAGCCCATTAAACCTGTTTGCCACTGCTCCCGGTAAGACTACCCTCAAGGACTTTCCCAACCAAGACTTTTTACCTAGTTTCACATGTTCTCATTTCCTGCTGGTTATTTATCATGCAATTCCCTATAGCTATAATTAGTTTTGCACTGGTTCTGTAGGATATTTCAGTGTATTTTGTGCATAGAAACTAAAGAAAGTAAATAGCTAGTTCTTAATCCTTAAAAGAAACTTAATGAGGTTTCTCTTAATGAGAAAATTAAGGCCTGGAAGGAGAGGTGAACTGATTTGCTGACGTTCAAATAATTAGAAATACTAGGATTTATATCTTTGCAATCAGATTCCAGAGTTTGTGCTCTGAACCATTATGCTTTAATTGTTCTCATATGATAGGTCCTATGTTTTAGATTTGTAAAACACTCATATACTGGTGATGGATGCACAAACTGGTATGACCTTTTCAGAGTGATCTGGTAAAAAATATTTGATACATTCCCTTTGACTCACAATTCCACTTTTAGGAATTTCTAAGTATTCATGAATATATGTAAATATTGGCTGTAAGGATGCTTATCATTTTGTTGTTTTAATAGAGGGAAAGTTAGAAACAAACTAGCAATATAAACTTGGTTTAATCAATTTAATTGTGATGCAGTCATATAACGGAAGAGATGTAACCATTAAAGATGTTAGAGTAGAATATGATGAGGAGACTTTCATGACATTGACAGTAGGTAGAGATCCATATAATCTTGAAAAAATGTATATCAATACATTAAAAAAAAAAAAAAAGACTAGTCAACAGTTACCCAAACTGTTGTTTCTTAGGCTTTGGGGAATTTTAGTAGTTTTAATTTTCTTCTTTGCCCAGAATTTCTATCAGAAATAACATGGCTGGGGCACCTGGGTGGCTCTGTTGGTTGAGCATCTGACTCATGATCTCAGCTCAGGTCTTGATCTCAGGGTCGCCTTGGGCTCGACACTGGGCATGGAGCTTACTTAAAAAAAAAAAAAAAAGAAGAAAACAAAGAAATAACATGGCTTTCATAATTAAATCGGTTTTAAAAAAATTGTGGTATTATACAAACATAAAACTTGCCATTTTAACCATTTTTAAGAGTATAGTTAAGTAGACTCACAGTGTTGTACAACCACACAACTATCCCTCTCCAGAACTTTTTCAATCGCCCAAGCTGAAACCCCTGCAGCCCCTGGAAACCACTGTTCCCCTTTTGGTCTCTAGGAATTTGACTATTCAAGATATCTCCATCAATCCACATATGTAGCATGTATCAGAGTTTCCCTCCTTTTTAAGGTTCAATATTCTATTGTATGTATACATTTTGTTTATCTATTCATCTGATGGATTTTAGGTTATTTCCACATTGACTACTGTGAATATACTGCTATGAATATAGCTGTACAAATACCTGTATAAGAGTCCCTGCTTTCAATTCTTTGGGTTTATACTCCTAAGTAGAATTGCTAGATCATATGGTAATTCTGTTAAATTTTTAGTTTTCAGGCTTTTCATCTCAGAGACCATACCTTTTCACCCTTTTGTAAGGGTCCCAGGGTCTGAGCACAGCTTGAGCCCAGACCCTAAAGTGAGTGCTCAAGTTGGTCAGCAAATATGGTGACCACCTAAATAGCCCCAGTCAGCAAGACAGACAGAACTTCATGGCCAGAAATCTTTCCTGCTGTTAGTTCATGAGGGAACTCCTGAAAACCAGTATTCTGGAAGCCTGGGATTTTACTATTAGAAATACAGGATTTGAAGAAATCCCTTGTAAAAATAGATGATCATCAGGATTTGGGGAGCAGGGAGATGGAATCCAATTAAGTGGATGTGGAGACAAAAGGGGAATGAAAAAGACCCCAAAGACAGACCCGTTCTACTTTACTATTTGTTCTATCAGCCTAGTAATCTGAAGGATGCCAGAGCTGAGTATTCACGTGTTCCCTGCTTTGCCTCTTTCTCAGCAGGATTTATAAACCTTTCTTGGGGAAAAAATACTGAGTTGCACAGACCTAGAGGTTTATTTCCAAAGGATGACCAAGAAATCCCTTGTGCCATCAACCAATAAATACAATGCAGTGTTCCAAAGTTGTTTACAAAAGGAAATATATAAATAACTGAAGATACCACTGTTTGAACCCACAAATTCTGTCAGTAGACCCATGGAATTCTAAAGAGGTGGTTGCCTGGTAACCAATATAAACAGCTTTGAAACCTAAGAAAGGAAGGAAGGTTTAAGATGCAGAACCTTGCTTTCCCTTGAAGAAGGTGTTGAGGGAGGCGACCTTGAAGGTATTTCAAAATACTGCTACTTTACTAGTATCTGAAAAGAGCTTTTCGCATCAGCTGAATGATGAAAGGCAGCCTGAAGTAGTTGAGAAGATTTTGGATTACGTGTCAAAAGGGTTAGGATTGCTTGAGGGATTAACCAATACTGTGGCCTTTGTCGTGTCTCTTCTCTCTGGCCCTCAGTTTTGAAATCTGCAAGATAAAAGTGTTAGAACAGAATCATGTTTGTGGCAGAGTTTCCGTAGTAATCTCAGGAGACAGTAGTAGATCTGTGTGAGTGCATGGCAAGGGGCAGGAATTAGAAAGTAGAGGGGAAAAATGAAGGAACTTTCTGACGAGAAAGAGGCAGGAGAGGGAAGCCTCTGAAACAAGCCAGGTTAAGAGACTGTGTTCCCCCATCCTGCTCTCCCACCATCAAGCTTCCTTCATACTTTCCACAGATACCTGTTGGGGGTATGGCTTCTCTAAATTTAATGTGTAAAAACACCTGTGAAAGCTGGTTAAAATGCAGATTTCTAGGCCTCACTGTGGCCTACTGAATCAGTATTCTGGGATGTAGGACACAGGATTCTGCATTTTAACAAGCTCCTCAAATTATCTTGATGCAGAAGGTTCTTGACCATTAACACTGTCCTAGAAGCTGACTGTCCCTACCTTAAAACTTCAGAATCTGTGGGTGTTGGTGAGAGTCTATTATTTTTTAAAAGTTCTCAGAAATACTGTGCTAAGGTTTATTGCTTTTTAACCTTCTGTGGTGGTTTCTGCTCCTTTAATTACAAGGAAAAAGCAAGGTATTACTCTTTTTAGCATGAATTATTCGGCCTACTTCAATTATTTCTGTAGAATAAAGGTCCCAGATCTGGGGGTGAAGGCAGGGGACTGGGAAGCTGAGCAGAAGGTTGAAACTAAATTTAGAACCTTGAGAGATCACTCATTTTGAATCTGGTTTCTTCTGTTAGGTTTTACTTGAGGGCCTGTGGCCTAACCCTTCCAACCCCACTCCTGCCTGTCTAGCCAGTTTCCTAGAGGTGCAGAAATAATGCTTGTGGTTGCTGTTTACCAGATCACCTGGTCTGCAGTTATGCCAGATTTGACTAAGTATAGAATGACGTGTGTTCATCTTTCTTTCTTCTTTCTTTTTTCTCTTTTCTTCTTTTCTCTAAAGATTTTGACACATAGAGAGCACAAGCAGGGGGAGTGGGAAGCAGGCTCCCTACTGAGCAGGGAGCTCAATTTGGGGCTCAATCCCAGGATCCTGGGATCATGACCTGAGCTGAAGGCAGGCACCCCCTGACTTTGGTTAAGGGACCATTTGTTGGGAGAGGGCCTTGCCTCAATGTTGGTAACATTTAAATTTGGATAATATGGAGCCTTTAAAATCCATACATAGGTTTTTTTCTTCCCTCTCTATCCACCTTCTTTTTTTTTTTTTTTTTAAGATTTTATTTATTTATTCATGAGAGACAGAGAGAGAGAGAAAGAGAGAGGCAGAGACACAGGCAGAGGGAGAAGCAGGCTCCATGCAGGGAGCCTGATGTGGGACTCCATCCCGGGTCTCCAGGATCAGGTCCTGGGCTGAAGGCAGCACTAAACCGCTGAGCCACCTGGGCTGCCCTCCACCTTCTCTTTTAATTGCTGAGGGCCCCAGTATTCCTTACCTGTCCTGTAAGTGCCTAATGCACTAACTGTGGGGCCCCAGAGACTTACCTTCAAGGGCCATAGTCCATGCTCTAAATCAATGATAATTCTTCACAATTATATAATACTATGAATTTTGCAAGAAAAGTTTTGTGGGGCCCCAGAGACTTACCTTCAAGGGCCATAGTCCATGCTCTAAATCAATGATAATTCTTCACAATTATATAATACTATGAATTTTGCAAGAAAAGTTTTGTTTTGTTTTTTTAAATTTGAAAGATCTTATTTATTCATGAGAGACACACAGGCAGAGGGAGAAGCAGGCTCCATGCAGGGAACCCAATGTGGGACTCAATCCCAGGACCCTGGGATCACACCCTGAACCAAAGGCAGACCCTCAACTGCTAAGTCACCCAGGCATCCTGCAAGAAAATTTTCATACATGTTCCCCAATTTTGAACTTCATATCAACACTAAATTGGAACAGATATCAAACTCTATTTTCAGCCTGGCAAACGAAGGCAAACCAGATGGGCTGGGAAGTACAGAACCTGGTCTTACACTTGTCTACTGATCCTAAGTCCATCTAGGATAAGCCTCTTTTGACCTAACCCTTCAACATTTTGTCCTGTCCTCATTCCTTTTCAGAACACATAAGGTATTTCCTTCTTCTCAAGAAGATATCATGTAAGAATATCCCTTGGCAATTTATAATAACTGATAATGCTAATATGTTATTCTTTCTGGGATGCTGGCATTATAACCAAAGATTCTGTATACCACAAGCTAAAGGGTATATATATCTGGGGACACCCAAAATCATTCCATATGGTTGCCTTGGGGTGAAACCAGTCCTCATCCATTTTTCAAGTCTTTAGAATCAAAATGTTCCCTGCCTTAGGAGCAAGAATTGATACACTGGCATGCTGAGAATAATACAATGTTCTGTTAGGCAATATACAAGACACCAGAGCACATGAATATTGTTTTCATCTAATAATTTATCTTTAGCCAGTACGAGTGGGCACTGTTTTGGGAAATTATCACTTGTGACCACATTCTACCCTTGCCATAACTTTTTTTTTTTGCCATAACTTTTTTAGTCTAATTTTAAAATACTCATGGCCATGTTGCCTTCACAACTGTGAAGAGATGGAGCAATTAGTCTTCTGTGCAAAAAATCCTGATGTCATATTAACCATGTATGATTTAATGAAATGAGGTTATCAATTCTGGCCTAGTGACATCTAGATAAAAGCAAGCTTGTAACAAGAAGAAAAATATACCACAGATTAGATTTAATACACAGAAGAAAGTGGAACAAATCAAGTCCTAAAGAGAGAAGCTACTGGAATGCCAGTGTGGCATAGAGGTTAAGTGCTCTGGAGGTGCAATCTCATAGCTAGGATTAAAACCTGGCTTTTTGGGATCCCTGGGTGGCGCAGCAGTTTAGCGCCTGCTTTTGGCCCAGGGCGCGATCCTGGAGACCCGGGATCAAATCCCACGTCGGGCTCCCGGTACATGGAGCCTGCTTCTCCCTCTGCCTGTGTCTCCGCCTCTCTCTCTCTCTCTCTCTGTGTGTGTGTGTGTGACTATCATAAATAATAATAATAAAAATTAAAAAAAAAAAAAACCTGGCTTTTCTACTTATGGCCTGTATGGCCTGAAGCAATTCATTTACCATTCTGAGCTTCAGCTTCTCCCAATACAACATTAAAGACCATAATATCTTCCCTATGTAAAGCCCTTAGCAAAGTGCAAGCATACCTCATTTTATTATGCTTTACTTTATTGCACTTCACAGATATTCCATCTTTTAAAAAGACTTTTTTTTTTTTTTATTTGATAAAGAGAGATAGCAAGAGAGTAAGCATGAGCAGGGGGGAGAGGGAGAAGCAGACTTCCCACTGAGCTGGAAGCCTGAGGCAAGGCTCAATCCCAGGACCCTGAGATCATGACCTGAGTTGAAGGCAGATGGTTAACTGACTGAGCTATAGAGGATATTCCATTTTTTACAGATTGAAGGTTTGTGGCAACCCTGTGTCAAGCAAGTCTATCTGGGCCATTTCCCCAACAGCATTTGCTCACTTTATATCTCTGTCACATTTTGGTAATTCTCACAATCTTGCAGACTTTCTCATTTTTACTGTATTTGTCATGATGATCCATGATCATAACTTACTGAAAGCTCAGATGATGGTCAGCATTTTTTAGCAATATTTTTAAATTAAGGTATGTACATTGGTTTTTAGACATAATGCTTTGTACACCCCGTCAACTACGGTATAGTGGAAACAAAGCTTTTTACATGCACTGGGAAACCAAAAAATTCACTTGACTCATTTTATTATGATATTCACTTTATTGCAGTGGTCTGGAACCAAACCCACAACATCTCTGAGGTATGTCTGTACTTCATAACTGTCAATTATCATTATTAGCCCAAGGAAGGACTTCAGAAGGAAAATTGTTTAAAAAGCACTAAATGAGGCAGACTGGGTGGCTCAGTGGTTTAGCACTGCCTTCAGCCCAGGGTGTGATCCTGGAGACCTGGGATGGAGTCCCACGTCAGGTTCCCCGCATGGAGCCTGCTTCTCCTTCTGCCTGTGTCTCTGTGTCTCTCTCATGAATAAATAAATAAAATCTTAAATAAAATAAAAAGCACTAAATGTAGGGGCACATGGCTGGCTCAGTCAGGTAAGTTCCTGACTCTTGGTTTTGGCTCAGGTTATGATCCCAGGATCTTGGGATCAAGCCCTATGTCAGGCTCTGCACTTGGAGGGGAATCTGCTGGAGATTCCTTCTCCCTTTTTCTGTCTCCTTCTACCCCTCCCCCTGCTTGCACGCAGGCATGCTCTCTCTCTGTAAAATAAAACAAATCTTAAAAAAAAACAAAAAACCCAGACTAGGGCAGCCCCGGTGGCGCAGCAGTTTAGTGCCGCCTGCAGCCTGGGGTGTGATCCTGGAGACCCGGGATCCGGTCCCGCATCGGGCTTCCTGCATGGGGCCTGCTTCTCCCTCTGCCTGTGTCTCTGCCTCTCTCTCACTCTCTCTGAATGAATAAATAAATAAATCTTAAAAAAAAAAAAAAGACCCAAACTATTAAATGTAAGCATTTGTTCTCTACAGCGTTTTGGATGCTAGCTGAAACCTGGAAACAGCTTGCCCAATAATTAAGGAAAAAGGTGATTTACATACTTGGTAAAATATTCTGTAGCTGTTAAACATTAACAATTAAAACTATGTAACAATATGGAAAGGTGCTGGGTGATTCTGAAGGACAGCAGAGACAGAAGACCAAATATTTTAGCCAAATATTTAACAATGGGAGGTATCACAGGATTGAGAGTTAAAAGTATCGGTATGCAATCACTATTGTACACCTGAAACTAATTTAAAATTTAGGTTAACTATCCTGGAATGAAAAACAAATCGGTACAGACTAGAAGTGATGTATGAATTTGTGTGGGACATGGAGGCCTGGGTAGGTCCAGAAAGAGTTCTGGAGCAGGTAGGAACTGAGCTCGGCCTGGAAGAATGGATAGAATTTGTCAAGTATGGAGAGAAGGCTACTGCAGGTAGAGGGCACAGAGGAAGCTCCATGGTGTCAAGGGAGGAATACTCAGAGATGTACCAAGAGACTCAAGGGGTTATGATTAAAGAAGGTCATAAACTAGGGTCACATTCACGAAGGACCCTGAACACCAGGCTGATTGTCTGAAATTTATGCTTTAAAGACATAGAAAGCAACATCTGAGGAAAAATTAGAAGCATGGTTACTGCTGAAAACTAGTAATCTAATCCCTCATAAGGAGAGGACGGGCTGAGCTTTGGGGACAGACAGGAGAACTGGAATCAAGGGGTTGATACAAGGAATATTTCGAATGTTCCACCATTTCGTTCGTCTTTCTCACTCACGTGGCTTCTCCCCACTCCCCCCACCCCCTGCTCCGCCATCTGTCTTCCCATTTCTTATCTTTCTGTACTGCTATGGGCTACCAATTTCTACTGACCTAGAGCTCTCACCAGTTCCTCCCATCCCCTCAACAGGTACTTGGTCACGCCTCCAAGACCTGCATCTGGACCAGGCAGTGTGGAAGGAAACTTGCTGGGAAACAATGACCAGAACCCAACAGGGAAAGACCTGTCTTTCCCACCATTTCCATCAGTCACTTCCCCCACGGCTGGGATGGGGCATGAATTTTCCCCACTCAAAACCAAGAAACAAGGAGGAGTGTGCTTTGGTGTCCAGTGTACCTCCAGTCTTCCACTTTAGCCCGTATCGCTGCACACACCTCAAGAACCAGTATTTGAAAAGGGCCGCTACAAACCTTACCTTCTCTCAGGAGGTGGTATGGCAGCGAGGGCTTCCCAGCATCCCTTACAGCCAGTACAACTTTGACCATCTCTACAACACAGACCACATCATCCAGCCTCTCCAGATCAGGAGGGCCCGATCTGAGAAACCCACTGGCTTCAAGTCCTTGGGTTCTTCAGGTCTCTCAGCAAGGGTCACCTCCCAGGCTGTGAAGACAGAAAGTTCCGCCAATCTTAAGCAGCCGCGGAAACCAAAGCTAGCAAGGGTGGTCCATGAAAAACCTTCCCCTGGCATCCCTCACTCCGGAAGGGATCTGGACATGCTGGGTATGTCGCTTTCTCCAGATGTGTACCTGGAGGAGAGGGAAACCTGGCTTCCACCTTCTGAGAAGGAGGCCCAAGCCTGGGAAGCCATCGTGCTGGAAAAGCTGAACAAGCGCACTGCCCGATGGATCCAGAACAAGCGTCCTCTTAGATCTGGGGTCTCCCCCAACAAGTGGCAGAGCTTTCTGCGCCAGCAATATGACTGGAGCCACATCCGGGATGAGCTTACTTCCACAAGTGACCTGGAGCTCTTGAACCGGCTAGAGGAAGAAGAAACAGCAGAATTTGAGGATCAAAGTGTTATCCTGCCAACCCAGGAAAAAGAAAAGCCAGAGCTGCTGCTTCCTGTTTATTATAGGTATACTGGCTGGGACCTCAAGCACACCTTTGAGAATCCTCGGGTCCCCTTCAAAGACTCCTGGGTTGCTTCACATTCCTTATTTCAGAACACACTGTTCCATTCACCCACTGCCAACTCCTTAAGATCTCCTTAAAGTAAGGTTTCTCAGCCTAGCTACTATTGAAATCCTGTGTTGGATAATTCTTTGTTGTGGGGGCCTGTCTTGTACCTTGTAGGATGGTCTAGTACCACCCCCACTGGATGCCAGCAGCACTCTCCAGTTGTGACTACCAAAGATGTCTCCATACATGTCCCCTTAAGGGACCAAAATCACTCCTAGTCGAGAACCACTGCCTTTTAAGGGATAGGTTCTTGGCCTCTCCTAGCAGACTAAGCTATTTTGCTGATCCAGTTACTATTCAGGCACTCTCAGAAATGTATCCATATTGACATTGAGAAGGCAGAGACCTCAAGGCACCGAGGGTTGGTCTTGTCTCACTTCGAATGAGGAGCCAATGTGTCACTGATTCAAAAACTGACTGGCGGGACACCTGGGTGGCTCAGCAGTTGAGCGTCTGCCTTTAGCTCAGGGCATATCCTGTTCCCGGGATCGAGTCCCACACTGGGCTCCCTGCGAGGAGACTGCTTCTCCTTCTGCCTCTGTCTCTGCTTCTGTGTATCTCTCATGAATAAATAAATAAAATCTTAAAAAAAAAAAAAAGACTGGCAGCAGGACAGAGAGCTAAACCACCTGAGGGTTGATTATTGCAAATTTCTCACATTGCTTCCTTCTCACTTATAGCTAGAGGGAAGACCAGAACTATTATAACATCTCATCCACAAAAGGGAAATAAAGGTTGAGTGGGAATCCATATATTCATTTATTTATTGGACAAACATAAACCGCATTCCTGCTACTTGCCAGGTACTCTGCAAAGTGCTGGGAATACAACCTAAACGAGAGATGTGGACCCTTTAATGAGCTTATGGAATGTTCACTGGGGTTGACATACAGTAAATAACCACACACATGATGAAGTGAAGTAATGTAGGAATTGATTCACTTTCCCAAGTTCATGCAACCTCCAAGGGCACCATGTTAAAAAAAAAAAAAAAAAAAAAAAGGTAATGCAAGCCTGGCCCCTCTATCGTGCTCTCCAGTGGTTGCAGGAGTGGCTCCCTAAAGGGAAGAAGGTGGCTGCAGACAGGCCCTTCTGGCAGGCCTGAATATTCATTTGGCACTCTGGGAGCAAGGCCAATAGATAAACAGAGGTGTTTCCCAGATGCTCACGGGTATATGAGGTGAGCTTAGAGAGGGGTGAGCTGTGAGTCTGATGGAAGTCAGGAGGTCCATCTCCTATCTTTCCCTCTTCTCCCTCTCCCTCTTGCTAAGACTGCCCAATTACTTGCCACAAGTGCAGACAACTGAAACTATGCCTGGCAACAATAAGACTGCTGAGGATATCAAAGGAAAGAACGTCCACCAGCCCCCAAAGCAGAGCTACTTCCGACAGGTGAATCCTCGAGCTGGAAAGTTTGCTTACTCCACAGCCAACACCTATGAACAGGAGATATACTTTGGTAATAGAGCTGGGGTGCTATGCTGGGGCCTGAGGTGGACATGGAACAGGGAGGTGGAAGGCAGCGGGGGGAATGAACCAGTCATGAGTGTGGATAAGGGGCCGTAGATGACCAAAGTGTTCATAGCAACATCCCCTAGTGACTAGCACAGGAAGGTTGTTTTGGCAGAGGGCAGGCAGGTATCTGGTGAGAGGAGGAACTATTTTCCCTCTTCCCCTGGCTCTATCCCTTTATCTTATAAAGGAGGTTGTGGAGTGTGGGGTTGTGGAGTGTGGGGTTGTAAAGCAAATAGGATTTGGCTTGGAGAACACCTCTTCTCTGTCTGCTCTTCTCCTTTCTCTTCCTTTGAGATAATCCCCCATTGAGGGGTTAAGAAAAAAATCATAGGTTTTGGAATCTGGAGGATCCTGGCTTAGCCCCTCCCTACTAATATGAGCAAACTATATAATCCCTCTGAGCCTTATTTGTAAAACAATAGTAACAAAAATGCACTTCAAGGACAGGAATGCATCTGTATGCTTCTTGCCCAATGCTCAATAAAATATCCACTACCTTCCCCTTCCATCTTGCTATCCTTTAGAAGACCTGGCTTGTAAGATACATGATCTAGGTCTGCATGTTCCAAACTGTTTATCCTTCCTTGCCCCCATCTTGTTTCTAAACTGTCAACTGAAAGTCGTCTTAGAATGTTTAACAAAATTATTCAGATGAAGTTAGTTATGACTGGTAAGAAATGAATTAGATACTCTTTTATTAGGACTTAGTTTTTCATAGGGGACAATGCCTGTAAGTTAAGACAGGTTCTGCCTTGGTTTCTAAGCCTCTATGAGACCACTGGCTCCTATTTCCAAGAAACAGTCACCTTCAAAGGATGCCCCCACATCATGGTAATCATGAGTCTTAGGTGCTAAAGAGTTAAGGCAGAAGGAAATTGGGTCTGATCCTGATGACTGAAAACCCAGCAAGAGAGGAAGGAGTGTGGTACTAGGGATTCCTTATTTGTCTGTTCACAGATCAAGTCCAGGTCATCCACCAGATTGGTGCGAAGAGAGACCACATTTTCCTGGAAAACTTCAATCGGTACAAGAAGCAGCTGTCTAAAGTCTTCCCTGAAACCCCAGAAAGGTGGACTTCCCAGCCAGTTCCCGAAGCACGTAAGCAGGAAGCACGTAATAGGAAGCACATATTATAAAATTCATCCTTTAAAAATGTATACAATTCAGTGGTTTTTAGCCCAAAGGGACAAGGATCGAGGGTCTGATGATGTCCAGCCTATAAAACAAGCTCCTTAAAGAAATAGCTACACTTCTGGGACACCTGGGCGGTTCGGATTGTTAAGTGCTGAACTCCTGATTTTGGCTCAAGTCATGGTATCAGAGTTGTGAGATCAAGCTCCACATGGCACCCACTCTTTTTCTTTCTTCCTTCCTTCCTTTCTTTTTCTATTTATTTCAGAGAGAGCACAAGCATGTGCATGTGAGTATATGCACAACCTGGGGAGGAGGTGCAGAGGGAGGAGAGGATCTCAGACTCCCTGCTGAGCACAGAGGCCCCTTATGGACATCATCAGTTTGTAGAGGAGTCCCTTCCTACTAACTAAAATTATCAAACACTAACTATAACTAGGAAGAGCCTTTGTGGAACATCCATTCAATTAAAATCAGATCAAACTTAGGTTAGATGTAACCATGAGATTTAGGGCTGGTAATTACCAATGAGACAAGTCCCATCTCTTTTTCCAGGAAAAGTACATCAGACCCTTGATCCTTGTCCCTTTGGGCTAGTTCTATCCTCCCATTCCATTCTCAGGCCATACCTGCCACAGGTACTAGGGTCATCCTCTGTTCTAAATTTCTGTTTCATAACTATATCATCTTAATTCTGTAAGAGAGATAAAGGGAAGGGGGGGGGGGGGAAGATGGCCAAGAAATGAGCTTATAAAACAAAAAGTGCCCATTCTCCAAGAGACTATGCTTCCATGTCCCATGACTTTTCTTTGCAGGGTCATTGTTCCAGTGGGCCCCCTGGTGTGCAGAAACTAATGGTAGTCGTGGAGAAAGCACCCTAGCAAAGTCTTGGATTGAGTCTAGGCAAGTCACCTTCTAGGGCTTCTGCTGCTTCATTAGGGCTGAGACACTAATCATTCCTATGGCAAGGCACTTCGGGAATACTTGGTTTTGTTTTGTTTTTTTTTAATTTTTATTTATTTATGATAGTCACAGAGGGAGAGAGAGAGAGAGGTAGAGACACAGGCAGAGGGAGAAGCAGGCTCCATGTACCGGGAGCCCGACGTGGGATTCGATCCCGGATCTCCAGGATCGCGCCCTGGGCCAAAGGCAGGCGCCAAACCGCTGCACCACCCAGGGATCCCCTTTTTTTTTTTTTTTAATTTTTATTTTACTTGTTGATTTTGTTACATTTATTGATACTTAGGTGATCTTGTGAATGCATTTTATAAACCATTAAGTGCTCAAACTCAAGGAATTATTAGTATACCACCTTCCCCACAAGGCAACTGTACTGCATATGTCCTCCCCTCTAAGAATAGGCAAATCCACAATGACACAAAGTTCTCACTGGGGGAAGAGAGGGATTGGCACAGGGTTTCTTTTTGGGGTGATAAAAATATCCTAAAATTAAGACACTGCAATAGTTGTACAACTCTGAATATGCTAAAAACCACTGAATATGGGATCCCTGGGTGGCGCAGCGGTTTAGTGCCTGCCTTTGGCCCAGGGAGCGATCCTGGAGACCCAGGATTGAGTCTCTCTCTCTGTGACTATCAATAATAAATAAATAAAATTTTTAAAAAAACCACTGAATTGTATACATTTTTAAAGGATGAATTTTATAATATGTGAATTCTACCTCACAAGGTGCTACCCACCCTCCCACCCCAGGCTGAATTCAGATGCCTCACCACCTGTCTCACTGGCTTCACAGACACTTTTCCACCAGTGTCCTAGATGCCCCCTCTTTTCTCCAGAACAAAGAACATATAACAAACATAAGCTGTAGAATCTTTCCCAAACTTTTTAATTTTTTAAAAGATTTTATTTATTCATTTGAGAGAGAACCACGAGTGGTGGGGAGGGGAGGGAGAAGCAGACTTGATCCCAGGTGGAGTTCAATCGCAGGAACCAGAGATCATGACGTGAGCTGAAGGTAGATGCCTAACTGACTGAGCCACGCAGGTGCCCCCAACTTTTTTTTAATTAATTTATATTTTTAAAATATTTTATTTATTTATTTATTCATGAGAGAGACACACACACAGAGAGAGAGAGGCAGAGATACAGGCAGAAGGAGTAGTAGGCTCCATGCAGGAAGCCCGATGTGGGACTCAATCCTGGGACTCCGGTATCATGCCCTGAGCTAAAGGCAGACCTTCAACCGCTAAGCCACCCAGGGATGCCCCAAACTTATTTATTTTTATTTTTAAAGATTTTATTTATTCATGAGACACACACACAGAGAGAGAAGCAGAGACATAGGCAGAGGGAGAAGCAGGCTCCATGCAGGGAGCCTGATGTGAGACTCGATCCTAGGACTCCAGGATCATGCCCTGAGCCAAAGGCAGATGCTTAATAAGTTGAGCCACCCAGGCAACCCCAAACTTCTTTTTAAAATAGTATTTGAGGGACGCCTGGGTAGATCAGTGGTTGAGCATCTGCCTTTGGCTCAAGTCATGATCCCTGGTCCAGGTTCAAGTCCTGCATCGGGCTCCCTCCAGGGAGCCGGCTTCTCCCTCTGTCTGTATCTCTGCCTCTCTCATAAGTAAATAAATACAATCTATAAATAGATAAGTAGACTGATAGATAGATGATAGAATTTGAAATTGGGGGTGCCTAGCTGGCTCAGTTGGAATATATGACTTGATCTCAGCGTTAGGAGTTCAAGCCCCACATTGGATGTGGAGCTTAATTAAAAAATAATAATAAATAGGGGCACCTGTGTCTCAGTTGGTTAAGCATCTGCCTTCAGCTCAAGTCTGATCCCGGGGTCCTGGGATGGAGCCCCATGTCAGGCTCTCTGCTCAGTGAGGAGTATGCTTCTCTCTGTCCCTCTGCTCCTCCCCGTTTGTGCTCTCTTCTCTCTGTCAAATAAATAAATAAATATATAATCTTTAAAAAATAAGTAAATATTTGAAAGTGATCTGGGAGATATAAAGTCAGAATAGTAACATAGAAACACCTTCTTATAACTATTTCATTTATTGTCTCATCCCAGGAAATACCAGGTATGAAAGAACCTAAAAAGGAAGAAAAAAAAAGGGGGGGAAATTCCTGGAGTTAGGAGGTGTGGGTGAAATTTTTTTTTACTCTCCATTTTGATTGAATTGGAAAGCTTAGGTGATAATTTCTTTAAGATGATGAAAATTCTTAAGGCACAAAGTGTACTTCTTGCTTTTTAAGCCTTAATTTCCCCCAAGCTGTGATATAAAACTCTTTAGCATACCCAGATCATGACAGTTTGATACTAAGCACAGGTCTTATGGTGCAGAGTCAAAGGCACCATTTGTTTCTGTCCACAAAATATTCTGTGCCTTTTATCCTAGAGAAAGCCAAAGGGTTGTCTGTGTGCTCCCTTCAGGGGACTTTTAATGTGGAATGTGGTTACTGGATGTGTTCTACCTGCCTAGGACTCAAAGGACCGAAAGTAAAATTAATGTTGGCAGTTGTGCATGTTTATTCCCACACAGGTTAAATACCAGAGATTCAAAGCTTTCTTACCACATCCTTTTTAACTCCCTGAGCAGGGGGGGATACAGGAGGAAAAGGACTAGACTACTACAACCACTTCTCAATTCCGTGGGGGGGATTTCAAGCAGGCTAAGAGGAGAGATATGGGGGAGTTTCACAGTATCAGCTCACTGGGAGCGTCTGGAGGTGGTTCTACTGCTGCACACTCTATACTGCAAAGGAAGCCAGACCTCAGCAGGGTGACAATTCTCCCAGCATGACCAAGCTGGGGGGAGAACCATTGGAGGGTATGCTTGTATGGCTTCTGAGCTAAACTGCACTGGAGTCTCACAAGAGAAGAAAGAAATGGTATTGCCTTCTTTGCTCAAAGAAAAGAATGGATTCAGAACAAATCTAAACATGTTAGAATGAAATCTTGGAAGAAACACAAATCTTGCAGCCTGGGTGGCTCAGTGGTTTAGCGCTGCCTTCGGCCCAGGGTGTGATCCAGGAGAGCCAGGATCGAGTCCCACGTCAGGCTCCCTGCATGGAGCCTGCTTCTCCCTCTACCTGTGTCAGTGCCTCTCTCTCTCTCTCTCTGTGTGTCTCTCATGAATAAATAAAATCTTAAAAAAAAAAAAAACACAAATCTTTCTTTTTTAAGATTTTATTTATTTATGAGAGATAGAGGCAGAGACACAGGCAGAGAGAGAAGCAGTCTCCCTGCAGGGAGCCCAATGTGGGACTCGATCCCAGGACTCTGGGATCATGACCTGAGCTGAAGGCAGATGCTCAACCACTGAGCTACCCAGGTGCCCAGAAACACAAATCTTTGATAGTGACAGATTAGAGCATTAGACTGATAAGCAATGTAGCAAGCAAATCAAGAATTTGGTAATTTGGAAATGTTTTTATATCTTTTGCCTTTTGCACACAACCACTCTTCTTAGAAAGAGGCTTTCTGAATCTGATACCAGGGATATCACAAAGTCTAGAAAACATAACTATAACTGGCTTTTATATAACAACTATAACTGTATTTTTATAATACGTTCTTCTGTCCTCAAATCTCCAACTGTTGTCATAATGAGGAAAAACTCAGAGATGCTAAAATCTTCTAAACTTAGCAGCTTGTAGCAGTATTCCTCCTCTCAAATTAAAAACATTAAAAATAAAAATAAAAAGGTCAGCACCTGGTTGGCTCATTAAAAACGTTAAAAATAAACATAAAAATGTCAGCACCTGGTTGGTTCAATCAGAACATGCAACTCTTGGGCAGCCCCGGTGGTGCAGTGGTTTAGCGCCGCCTGCCCCCCAGGGTGTCATCCTGGAGACCCAGGATTGAATCCCACATCAGGCTTCCGGCACGGAGCCTGCTTCTCCCTCTCTCTTCGCTCTCTCTGAATGAATAAATAAATAAATCTTTAAAAAAAAAAAAAGAACATGCGACTCTTGATCTTGGTGTCATGAGTTTGAACCCCATATTGGCTGTAGAAATTACTTACAAATAAATAAGTAAACTTAAAAAAGATTTATTTTAGAGAGAGAGAAGGCACACGAGCAGAGGGAGGAGAGAGAATCTTCAAGCAGATTCCCTGCTGAGCATGGAGCCCAATGTGGGGCTTGACCCCAGGACCCTGAGATCAGAAGAACATGAGCTGAAATCAAGAGTCAGACACTTAATTGATTGAGCCACCCAGGTACCCCAATAAATATATAAACTTAAAAAAAAAAAAGGAAGAAATCCTAATAAACTAGGAATGGACAATTATACTCTAAATTGCAATATATCAGATACTGAATTTTGAGCAAAACCTTATTACATATAAACAAATTTTCTTCCTAAAGATTAAATGTATGAAAATTTTTGTATATATCTCAATCCCCCCCCCAATCATGGCTTTATTATGTCTCATTAGGACCTTTCTTAATTCCCTGTGGGACTCGTACTTAGTTCCTTGTATAATCATGGGAAAGTTTGTTTTCAAGTATTGTTTTGCCTTGGTGTTGGTCAGGAGCAGGATGTAATGCTAGCTGGGAACACAGGGCCTAGGGCAGTGGAGTAAGACTATCTCACACTGTCCTGCTGCACAGCCTACAGGCCTGTGAAAGGAGCCCCACGCTGGACGGCTCTGCCCACCCCAGCCAAGGATCTGCTGTTCCAGCTGAGTGAGAAGGATGCCCGTAAGACCAGGAGACTGAAGAAGCAGGAAGAATCACTGAAGGAAGATGGGACTTGGGAACTGGGGGCCCTGCAGAGGATGCTGGAGGAATGGAAGACTGCCTGGGCTCTGAGTGAGTGAAGGGGCCAGGGTGGAGCCGGAGACATTGGTATACATTGGAGGGAGGAGGGGCTCACCTTGGATTAGTGTTTCTCTATGAAAATCCATCCCTTTCTTGCAAAACATACAAATCTGGTTGCATCATCAAAGGGTCACTAGAGAAGAGCCTTTCACATCATGATAGTTGATGCATCTGGAGGTCTTTTTGCACAGGCAGGTTTTACATCAGGAATTTGTATATAGGCACTACATTGAGGATTCTTCCCAGACAGGGACTCAGTCTTACAACCCCTGAGATTTTACCCTCAATAAATGATGCATCAAGGGAGGGATGAAACATGCTGTCCAAGCAAGGGAAATGTAGTGATCAAAAGGAATTGTAGTTGGCTGTGGTGTAAACAATGCCTCTCCAAAATTCCTATGTGGAGTTGGGATTCTCATATATACGCTCTGCCTTTGGCAATATGGGAGTAGAAGGCTGAATGCTTGGGGCAGAGTGAGGGGGACAATTGTCCAAAGCTATAAGATCCGAGGACTCAGGGCTGCTGGCTTGTAGAACAGGAGACTAGTTTAATTAGTACAGGACAAACAATCCATTACATATATGAGATCAGGTAAACAAAAAAGGGTTGAAAGATTTTCTGAGTAAAACCTTCTAGTAGGAACTCTGAAATAAGAGCTTGACACCTACAAAGAGAGAAGTTAGTAATGAAATGAGAAGACCTTGAAAGCCAGATGGAAGAGACCTCAAAGGCAACCTAACGATAACAATTGTTAACAGTTGAGTCCTTGCTATCTTGCCATTTTGTTAAATACTTTGTCTAGTTAACTCATTTAATACTCTAACTAAATATGGTAGGTTCTAAGACCATTCCTATTTTATAAATGGGCAGTACTAAGCTCAGAGAGGTTAACTAACTTATCCAAGGTCACACAGCTAATAACTGTGATTCCAAACCAAGTAAGTTTGACAACAAACTACTCTTAGGGATCCCTGGGTGGCGCAGTGGTTTGGCGCCTGCCTTTGGCCCAGGGCGCGATCCTGGAGACCTGGGATCGAATCCCACGTCGGGCTCCCGGTGCATGGAGCCTGCTTCTCCCTCTGCCTGTGTCTCTGCCTCTCTCGCTCTCTCTCTGTGTGTGACTATCATAAATAAATAAAAATTAAAAAAAAAAAAACTACTCTTAATCACTGTTTTATCACACACATACACACCCCTTTTATTTTCCAGATGATAACAATGAAGAGTTATTTAAGCAAAGAGAGACTAAGATAGGACTGGGAGGGGGGAGGTGTCTGGGAACTAACCAACAGGGTACATGGATTTTCAGAGAAATAACTTCCCAAAGGACCCCATTTCTCTGGGGCCCTTTATTCTTCTGAGCTAATGTTCTGCTTGAATTGTGCTAGGAGGAAGGAGACTATCTAACTCTAATCAGATGGTTTTCTTCTCATTTCACTCCCTGCGGCAAAGTCATTGAGTGGCATCATGAGACAATAGAGGGCCTGATGCGGGGCTTGGTGGACATGCATGATGATGTTCGGATCCAAGCCATCATCACATGTGCCACAGCTGCTTTAGAACAGCCCCGGAATGCCACCAGCCAGGGGGACTCAGGTGAGATCCTGAACTTAACTGCTTGAGAAGATAAGCAACTTACACAGCCATAGACAATGATAACTGATGTGGACCTTCGAGCTTATCCAAGATTTTTTTTACAAACATGGAAACCAAGGCCCAGAGACTAGCCGGAATATACACAGCTTATTAACAATAGAGATGAAATTAAAATTCCTGACTTCTAGTCCAGTGCTTTTTGCACTATATTTCATTACCTTTCGTTTGCCCAGCAGCTTCAAGCAAGTTTGCATTGTTCCACCCTGAGAGATCCCATTTGTAAAAGACCAAATATACAGTGTGTACACAATATATATATATCTATACACACACACTTTTTTCCCTTCTAGTTTAGCCCTTCTTTTGACAGCACACCTGAAACTCAAACTTAACTAATCACCCTGACCATAGACCCCTACCCAAGCTCCAAACTTCAATCAGTAGCTGCACCACAATCCATCTAGTTTCTGAGTCAGGGCCCTGAGTCATCCTAGACAAACCTTTCCTCTTCCCGTAACCAAATAGATTCTACTGATTCTGTTTCCCTCTTTATGTATTCATCAGTCAACAGAGGAATATAAAAAGGAATAATTCTCTTCTCCTAAAATTCCCAGTCCCACCCATGCCACTCCCCAGGGTAACCAATGTTTAGTTTGGCATTTTACATCTTTCTTGATGCTTTTGGAAATATAATATAAGCCAATGTACATGTAGACTTTTCTACTTATTATAAAAATGTGTTGAATTTTATCAGCCATTTTCTAGTTTTTCCCTTTAATTTGTGGATATGAATTTGTTGCTAATTTCTTAGAATCTAATAGATCATGATATATTACTCTTTTATTACTCCACTGAGTCTGATTTGTTGATATTTTAGAATATTCTACTACATTTCTAAGTGAAATGAGTTTATTTTTGTTAAGTTTTAGTTTTTGCTAGCTTTACAAAATGAACTTAAGGACTTAGCCATTTTTTTCTAATAATCTTTAGAAATGTCAATAGCTTTTTTTTTTTTTTTTTTTTTTTTTTACTAGCAGTAAGTAGTTAAAAAGGAAAATTTCCCATCTACAGCTGTAATCTGAGTTTAACAAGATACAGGACCCAAATGATAGAAGCTATCCAAGTACTATTAAAAGGACATAAAACCAACTGACTTTTTTCTCAAATGCCCTCAGATACCACCTTTTATGTGAATCCTGGGCTGATGCTTTTCCCCTCTGCTGCCAGTAGCACCCTAATATTATTCTGCCCTTATATCACTCTATCCTAATTGTCATTTACTTTTATGCCATTCCTATTAGACAAGAAACTCCTTAATGGCAGGGACTAATTTTACTTCTACAAACTTGTCACGTTTTTAAAGCTTCATTTATTTCTTAGCTACTGAGTTCGAGACGTGTATTTTTGCTACAAGTTTTCAAATCTGCTGCCCCGTCTGCTAGAAAACTCTTCAGTTCTCTTTACCTGATTAACTTCTATTAACTTCAGTTATCAGCTATCACCTCCTCTGAATTTTCCTGGCCCCAACACCTAGACTTGGTTCATTGTCCCCACTATGTACTTCCACACATATACATTTTTTTTCCTTTTACATTAAGTTCTACACCCAACATGGGGCTTGAACTCATGACCCTGAGATCAAGAGTCACTTGTTCTCCAGACTGAGCCAGCCAGGTGCTCCCCCCATATACATTTTTATTCCCCCCCCATATACATTTATTTATTTTTATTTTTTTAGATTATTTATTTATTTATTCATAGACAGAGAGAGGCAGAGACACAGGCAGAGGGAGAAGCAGGCTCCATGCAGGGAGCCCGACGTGGGACTTGATCTGGGGTCTCCAGGATCACACCTCAGGCTGCAGGCGGCGCCAAACCGCTGCGCGACCAGGGCTGCCCTACATTTTTTATTATAACTGCTTATTCCCCTGAGTATCAAATGGATGGTGTATTTGGGGTGCCTGGCACAGAGAAAACCTTCAGTAGGTAGCAACAGTAGGTAGATATTACAATCTTATCCCCAGGTCTTCACATACAAAGAATTCTTGTCTGCCCCCGGAATTATGCCTTCCATGTGCTCCCTTTCACATCTCTTCAGTGTCTAGATTTTGACTTGTCTTTGTCTTGTTTCTTCCCCATACCTTCCCCAAGAAAACTATCTTACTCATTATTTCTTGAAATACTTGTTTGACTTCTACATATTCCCATAAAATATCCCTATTCCCATCTAGCCTGTTCTTAACAAATGGCATAGCAGGTCACAGCAGTAAGATAGGCAGATTAGAAATCCTAAAAACTTAGTCACAGGATCCAGCTCTGCCACTACTTGGGAAGTCAGCCTGAGCTTCAAATTCTTTCTCTCTCTAATGAGAATAATTGTGGACAAAAGGTGAACAGACCCTTTCCCCTTCTACTTGAGAATTTGAGCTTTAGTAAAATGCCTACCTGTTGCCCTGATAAGTACAGGAACAGGAACTATCTTTATAGGCAACATGCTTATGATAAACATGAACTCTGTTAAATTGCATCTGGACTGGGAAAACTGTAGGGAAATAGAAATGCCTCAAGGAGATGCCATCCCGGGATCCCTGGGTGGCTCAGCGGTTTGGTGCCTGCCTTCAGCCCAGGGCGTGATCCTGGAGACCTGGGATCGAGTCCCATGTTGGGCTCCCTGCGTGGGACCTGCTCCTCCCTCTGCCTGAGTCTCTGCCTCTCTCTCTTTGTGTCTCTCATGAATAAATAAATAAAATCTTAAAAAAAAAAAAAAAAAAGAGAGAGAGAGACGCCGTCCCTTGAGCTTCCAGGAATGCAGTGACTTCAAAGAGGCAGGCCCTATGTGGGCCCTGGGACTAGATCTATGGACTTGTTATACAACATACTCATTCCTGTGGGACATAGCATGTGTCCCCAGAAGGCTCTGTGGAACACTAATTGCCTTGAGAACTCTTGTCAAAAGGAACGCTAGATGCTGCCCTGTTGGCAAACTGTGCTCGCATCCTAGATCCTTCTGAAGATCGGTGCTTTGTGTGGTCTGTGAATCTTGTGAGTCTGTTTCAATCTAAAAAGACTCCTGGAATGACATATTTCAAGGCAGTTAATACCTGCCTTGCCTACTTCAATGAGGGCTGGATGACTTAAGATAATGAATATGAAAACACTATAAATGGCAAAGCACCATCTAAGTATAATTGCTATTAAAAATATAAAAATATATTTGGTAAAAAGGTTGATTTTCATCACTGAAACTAATGATGAAGCTCACCAGTCTAGCTGGAAACCTTCTGTGGCTTCAATCCAGCTCTTCAGATGCCAGGTGATAAAAGATTGGAAAGTGGTGTACACAGCACAGAAGTGAACCATAAAATAGTGCCCATTGCAGGGGCTCAGCTAAATCGTAATTTTATTAAGTAGCAGTAAGCACCAGCAACTGAGACTAAGGTCAACCACTGTGTGGCTATGGGAAGGAAACTGTCTCAGTGAAAATCAAACAGGCTAGCACCCTCTTCTCTTTTGATTGTAGGCAAGGAGACTGTGAAAGCCCCATCTATCCAGGACTTGCCAGAGGTTCTACAGCCCGCCCTGGAGGCTGCTCTTTGTGACAAAAATGCCAATGTGCGGATGGCAGCGGCAGTATGCCAATATGCCATACAGTCGCATAATCCCCTTGCCCGGGACATCATGCATACTGCCGTTTCAAAGGGTGAGTAACTATCACTTCTGATCTGGGAATATGGGGTAAGGGCAGAACATCTCACCATCAGTATTTCCTAATCCCTTCTTCTCCATTATTATGCTCTGTGAAGTCTACATAGGTTTGGGTTTATGTTTGTAAGATATTGCTTCCGGGCAGCCCTGGTATCTCAGCGGTTTAGCGCCACCTTCAGTCCAGGGCCTGATCCTAGAGACCGGAGATCGAGTCCCATGTCAGGCTCCCTGCATGGAGCCTGCTTCTCCCTCTGCCTGTGTCTCTCATGAATAAATAAATAAAATCTTTAAAAATAAATAAATAAATAAATTAATTAATTAATAAGATATTGCTTCCTAGGTACTTTTACAAGATAGGTACACTGCCACCTAGTGGTACCTGGGCAACTAAGTGTTTCATGGATGCATTTGCTTAGACACCATGCCCCCTTTCCCACAAATTTGAGACCACATGTAAGCATGTGAAAGAGAGGTGGAGGGTAGACAGAGGGAGAGGGAGAATTTTAAGCATGCTCCATACCCAGTGTAGAGCCCGATGTGGGGCTTGATCTCACAACCCTGAGATCATAACCTGAGAAGAAATCAAGAGCTGGATGCTTAACTGACTAAGCCACCCCTGTGTCCCACAAATTTACTTAAAAAAAAAAAAAAATTTTGTATATGTATATACATAATCTCTACACCCAATATGGGGCTCAAACTCACAGCTACAAGATCAAGAGCTGCATACTCTTCTGAGTCAGCCAGGTGCCCCACACATACATTCATTCATTCATTCATTTATTTTAAGATTTATTTATTTATTCAGAGAGAGAGAGAGAGAGAGAGGCAGGGACACAGGCAGAGGGAGAAGCAGGCTCCATGCAGGAAGCCCGACATGGGACTCGATCCCAGGTCTCCAGGATCACACCCTGGGCTGCAGGAGGCGCCAAACCGCTGTGCCACCGGGGCTGCCCCATAGATTTATTTTTAATTAAAAAGATGACATGGGACTCCTGGGTGGCTCCATAGGCTAAGCGCCTGCCTTCAGCTCAGGTCATTATCCCAGGGTCCTGGGACTGAACCCCACAGGGCTCCCTACTCAGCTGAGAGCCTGCTTCTCCCTCTCCCCACCCCACCCCCACTCATGCTCTCTCAAATAAATACATAAAATCTTTAATTAAAAAGATGATGTAACAATATTAAAGAATATTTTCTGAAAATTAAAAAAATCACCACTGGCATACATCATGCTTCCATCTTTGCATGTTTACAGGCATTGTCTACAAACACTGTTGGAGCATACAAGCACAAAAGCTGCTAGGGTCCCGAGATACCTGAGCACTCTCTGAAAGACTGCTTGCTCCTTCCTCCTTGGGGCAATGGGGAAATGAGCAGACAGGGACAACTGGCTGACTGGATTGGCCTTCTGCATACAGACCATCAATAACTTAATTCATCTGTCTTAAAAAAGCCTCCACTCCAGCCTTCTAAATCCCTAGGGGAAGGAGCAATGCTCTCTCACCCAGAGAACATAAGGGTCAACTGCTCTTACCCAACAAGAGCCTTTTAGGATTTGACATTTCAGGTTAAGATTTTCAGTCTATATCTAAAACTGACTATATGATCCATTTAAATACAGGCTCTAACTTCTATACTGAGGGGGGCACAGGGAAGTGAGGTACCAGGCAGGTAACAGCCTTGGGTACCAACCTTAAGGAGGACAATAGCTATTTTTCACCCCACCTGACAGGTAATAGCGTGGACAGCTGGGCTGCCGCTCAGTGCTTGGCTCTAGAAGGTGCTGCCACATACCCTGTGATTAAGAGGATCCTCCAACAGCTGTTTAATAAGAAGAATGATGACACTGAACGCCACTCTTGTATGCTCCTGAGCCATCTCAGCAGGAAGACAGTATGTTCATTACAGGGCCAGAAAAGGAAACCAAATTATGGGGAACACTGGAGTCTCTGAGATCAGTTCACATAAGGAATCAAATATGCAGATGGTTGAGTAAGATGATAAGCACAGTTTCTGTGTTGAAATGTGTGAGTGAACTGAGGTATAGAAGTGTGTATACAGGTAAAAGGGACACCAGCCACCTGAGACAAAGATGAGAAAAGTAGGTTGCAGATGGTTTCTGTGTATGCAAGTTGTGATATGTAGAATCTGCTTCTGCCAGAAGTTTACCATTGAAAACTGCACAGACCTACAAGCGTGTTTACTTTCAATAGAAATGTGAAACTGTGAAACTCACAATGATGAGGTGTATACAAATCATTTTAGGAGTAAAGATAGTTAAGTCCCCAGGAGTTTTCTGTTCAGGTTATGAAATCTGTATTTTGTTCCCTGATTTATGATTCCAAAGTTAGTTGGCTCAGATAGAAGAGTACTCCCTATCTTATAAATCCATTCTTTCTTTGCTAGGAATGGGTCTCTCATGTACTTGTGACATCAATTAGGCTGAATGCCATGTTAGGATATAGCTTCTTCAAGGCTCCAGCATGTCTAAAAGTTATCATGAATATCCACTTACGTTTTCCATTCCTCAGACCTTGATACACACCATGCTTGCTGTGGAGCTAAATAGCTACCAGTGGAAGGACCGGATTGTGGCCTGCCGGGCTCTCTCACAGATCGGGGGAACTGTCAGTTTGGTAAGCCTTCAGTGTTTCCAGGACACAAAGTCTAAGCAAAAGGAGGCTGGGGAGCCCTTCCACTTTTTGCTGCTATTTAGTATCCCATTCTTACCAAGTAGATCTTCGTCTTTACATTCTTAGTCCTAACCCAGAATTACCTTCATATGCCAACATTTCTTTCTGACTCAAGACACCTGCGTCTTAGCATGATGGCAGTTCACAAATCGTAACCCACTCACAATAAGCAAAAAACCCAAAACCAAACCAAACCAAACAAACGAAAACCCTAGAATTTAGAAACTTTTATAGTACTTTGACATTGCCTTAACATGAATGTACTGTATAAGTACCACCCAATGACATTCCTCCCCCATCCTTGAAAACTGGTCCTTCTTCAAATAAGTTTGAGAAACACTGACTTATCCAACAATCCAACCATACTAGTGTCTATGTTGATTCTTGAGTGTTTAGCACATAAAGTATAAAATACAGTCCCTACTTTAAAAAGATTGACATCACGGTTCGAATAACAATACAAACACAAAGGATTAAAGAATAAGAGATAAACATACAGTACACTCTTAAAACTTTTCAGACAAAGATGAGAATCATCTTTGAGAGAGAGAGGATGTAGGCCAAACCTATCAGAGTTCTGGGAAGGAGTGTCGAACAACTGGGCAAGACTTAGATGGAGCTGAAGAGTGACTTCCAGGCAGGGGAAACCTTGACCATCATTTGGGCTTTCACTTGATCTGCTTCTTCTTTTTATTCAAATTCAATTAATCAACATGTAATGTATTCTTGGTTTCAGAGATAGAGGGGATTCCTCAGTCTTGTATCACACCCAGTGCTCATTACATCACATGCCCTCCTTAACACCCATTACCCAGTTACCCCACCCTACTTTTTGTTCTTATTTTTTAATCATCTTCAGCTGTTCAAATGGGGGTTTCCCCTTCTTCCTCTGTGCCACCGTATCATTTTCTTTTAACACTACCTCCAAAATGGCCCAGAACACTGCCATTCCCATGAGAAGTTAACACCCTCCACCTTTGGATCCTCCCATTTTTAGTGGAAAGGACAAAATCTGATCATTCAGTATATTCACCTGAAGATGTTTTAGTCTGAGTTGATTCTGCCCCAGCTGCCACAGACCCTTCCTCTGAAGTCCTGACCAGCAGCATAGGCATTACCTGGTAGCTTGTGAGAAGGGGAGAAATCTCACCTCAGGCTCAGTCAGAATCTGCATTTTAACAGTATCTGATTCATTTGCACATTCACCTCCTTAGCACTTGTCACTCAGGACGGCCAACTGAAAGTAAAAAGACATGCAGAGCAGGCAGGGGGCTGACCTGGCAAAAATGAGAACTTTACGTCAGGTAGCTGGAATGAAGAAAGACACCATGTCTATCAGTCCTTCACTCATTCAGTAAGCAGTTTCTGACCACATCCTACATGCTAGGCACTATGCCAGCATTGGGGATGCAAAAATACTAGGTCTTTTCTTGGTAAACGTTATACTAGCTATAACAGAGGCAACTGTAAAGCATCATGGGGATTTCCTACGCTTACAGAGGACAGAAGAGAATTCACAGAGATGCTTTCGGGAACAAAATCCTCAAAGAGTACGGAAACATTAGGTACCAGGTAAGGGGGGAAAAGAGAGGTTTCAGGCAGGGAGAATAGCTTGGGCACATTTACCACAATCATGAACTACAACTGAAGTAATCTTGGTCTCTTCCCTTCTGAATGAAGTACTAATATATAGGCCAACTGTCCTGGTTCGTCCAGGACATAGGACTTTTAGCACTAAACCCAGGCAAAGGGGATGGGCATCACCCTTAGTGTGGGACCATAAAATTTTAAGGCCCTCAAGTGCAGATTATGTTGGTCCCAACAGAGTATAGCAGCTTAAAGCATAAGCTTAGAAAACAGACAGGGTCTGAGTCCTGGCTCTAGCATTCAACAGGTTAACTTTGGGCAAGTAAACCTATGCCTCCATTTTGTCATCTGTAAATGGTAATCTGCCTCATTGGATTGTTTAGGAGGACTAAGTGATGGGTAAGAACACCTGGCACAGTACCAAGCACAAAATTTACATTCAGTAAGTGGCAGCTAATTATTATACTTATTTATAGGATATGAAACATAAGTTAATCCAACTAATGCTGAGTGACTGGAAGAAGGAAGTGAGACATGCAGCTGCCCAAGCTCTGGGGCAAATGAGCCTTGGGAAAGAGGTGCATAACACCATCAGGTAGGACCTAGTAAACATGAACTCAGTGAAACTTCTTCATTCTTTTTCACATATTTTTAAAAGATTTTATTTGAAAGAGCGAGCATACATGAGTGGGGGGTTAGGGGCAGAGGGAGAGGGAGAAGCAGGCTCCCCACTGAGCAGGGAGCCCAACTGGGGCTCAATCCCAGGATCATGTCCTGAGCCAAAGGCAGACACCTAACCAGCTGAGCCACCCATGTGCCCTGAAACTTTTCTATTCTTAAGTATTCAGGGAGCCTGGGATCCAGTCAGCTGGCATCTGTTGAACTTTGCATGCTCAGCATTGTACTGGGTCCCACTGCAGGATTATTTTTAAAATAAAAAATTATCAGTCCCTACAGACACTAACAATGTGGCTAAGGAAAGAATCAGAGTGCCCACTAGGCATTAAGTACTGCTTTGAATGTTTCAGAGTTCAAAAGTATGACATGATTCTGATTATATAGGCAAGACACACGAATGCTTAGTAATTAGTAAGGTCAACATTCATGGAGGATGGATTAGACTATATAGGCAGAGAGAAGGAAAGATATTCCAGGCTGGGAGCCAAATACAAAAACAAGGATGGCACATGTGAGGGCAGTGAAGAGGACTTGACTATAGGAAGAAGTACATTAAAGTTTCCTTTATTTAGTCATTCAATATAGTTTAGTGCCCAGCATATGCTAGTAATAGGGGTTGAAGTAAGAAAGACAGTTGAAATCTCTGTCCAGTGAAACTTAAAACTTATGGGCACATGGCTGACTAGCAAATGGTGGGAATGGATAATGCAGAGCCTACAGAGGTTGGATTTTATTTTGAGGGCACAGTGGTTGTGGTGGGAATGCCAAAAGTTTAAAGAGGGAAAATAAAAAACACTGTGCCTTACAGAGTCAAACTGAGTCAAGGAAATTTCCGGGAACGTGTGGAAGCTCTCTCCCTGATTGGTGGGCTCAAGCTCATGACTGCCAGGCTTCTCCCCAGCTTCCTCAACTGCTTCTCTGATGACTTCATGGCAGTTCGCCGGGCAGCCTGTTTAGCAGCAGGTGCCCTACAGATCCGTGATAATAGGGTAAGTCAAAGAAACACATTCCCATCTTACCTGATTAACCTGAAGAGGGCATTACCCTGAGCTTCCCTTGTTGTGTATACTACACTCACCATTCTGTGTTTCCACAGAATGAAAGATCTGGAAGGTGAGGGGGTATATAGGCCACATCAATCAGTCAGTTAGGACCACACTGAGCTCTCCCAGGCAGCCCAAACTGAACTCTAGAGCATATCCTTGAATCCCGTTCTCATCTCAGTTACGGGCTTTAGGATCAACTCCAGTGAATGGAGTTATAATCCCCAGTTATTAGAGAAAAACCTGATTGGAGGTGTTCTAAAGAAGCCTGTATGACCAGAGAACTGTGGGCTGAGGAAAATCAATCTAGATAGGAGATAATTCAGCTAATACACTATGTGTACAGGCTAGTACTTCAGCTTCCAGCTCAGCTGTCACTAGAATTGATAGAAGCCCATTTTTCAGTAAGAGCACATTTTAGAGATAAGAGGGGTCCCTGTGGGGCAGCCCGGGTAGCTCAGCAGTTTAGCACCACCTTCAGCCCAGAGGGTGATCCTGGAGACCCGGGATCGAGTCCTACATCAGGCTCCCTGCATGGAGCCTGCTTCTCCCTCTGCCTGTGTCTCTCCCTCTCTGTCTCTCACGAATAAATAAACAAAATCTTAAAAAAAAAAAAAAAAAAAAAAAAGTCCTTGTCTGGCTCATTCTTTTTTTCTTTTTTTAAGACTTTTATTTATTTATTTATTCATGAGAGACAGAGAGGGGGGTGGGGGGCAGAGACATAGGCAGAGGGAGAAGCAGGCTCCATGCAGGAAGCCCGATGCGGGACTTGATCCCAGGTCTCCAGGATCATGCCCTGGGCCGAAAGCAAGACGCTTAACTGCTGAGCCACCCAGGTGTCCCTGTCTGGTTCATTCTTACTCTGATCCTCTCAACACTGCTCTTTTATTCATTCCAGGTCCTTGAATGCCTTTTGAATCTGATACAGAGGGATCCTTATTGGAAAATCAAGGCATCTGCCATTCAAGGTAGGACAGGAGTGGCCCCAGCTCTTCACCTCAAACACCTTTCCATATGTTAATATAAATCCCCAGACTTTCTCTAGGAAGGGGGTAGAGTATAGGGAAAGGGATGATACAGAAGTTCTTGCCTAAGAAATTGAAGATTATGGTCTTCTTTTTAATTTTCTGTTAAGGATCCAGACTCTAGGTTTGCATCAAACTTAAGGCAAGTTTGTTAAGGGCTGACAAGACAATCCCTGCCAACAGAATTAGTATTAAGTTCTAAGGAGGGATCTGCTATTAGAAACACTTGCTCTGAAGTGTATTGGATACTTTTACTCTGGAAAAGACCAGATTCAAGACTGCTGCAGACTTAAAAACCTGCAACTTTCCTAGAGTTTCTTTTTAAATACTTTTGGCATTGCTTCTCTTATTTACCATCTTTGCCTTAGGTAAACCTGTTAAGTATCTGTGTCTCCTTTCCCCACTATCTTTTCCTGCGTAGGCTGGTCTTCTGAGTTAGCTGTCCTATATTTCATCCCTAGATACTTAAGAAAATTAATGTATTCTCACATTCTACTGGGCAAGAATAGGATGGATCCTCCCTCTTCATTCCCACAGGAATCCTTTGGAGATAATGTCCTACTCTAACATATCCCTAAAATTCTAATGATAATTGTCATACAAAAGAGAAGGTATCAACAAAATAGTTTAATATTTGCAATACTTAATTTAGCAGGCAGCTGTCTACATTACTATTATTTATTAATAAGGCCATTTCTGGATGTTAGGATATAGCCAACTCTATCTTAAGTGACAACAGAACATGCTACCTTCTAATCTCTGCAGCTTTGGGTCAGATTGGCCAAGTGAGTCCCCAGCTGACAGACCTCCTGCTCTGGGCTATCCATTATGAAAAGTCACCAGGTGTACGACTAGAAGCTTGCCGTAGCATCCTAGCCCTCAATCTTCAAGGGGATCGGGTCAGGGACACCTTCCTAGATGTGCTGCTCCTAGAGAATCACGAGGCTGTTCTAAAGTAAGCTCTAAACCTGATTCCTGCAACGACTTCTTGTACTGCTAACTCTCCTAGCCTTGTTAACAGGATATATCCCTGCCTTTCCAGGATGCCTAATGGCTATAAAAGCACAGGCTCACCTGTGCCATTCACATACCTACCGGAGTGGGTAACAGAAAAACTGGCCTAAATTAGATGGCAAGTCAGGTCATGCAGTTCACATACCTGTTCTCTATCCCAGGTGGTTTTACATATTTATTCACCTAATATTTATCAACTGCCTATTGTGATGACAGGCTTTAGAATAAAAAAGATCGGGGTGCCTGGGTGGCTCCGTGGTTGAGTGTCTGCCTTTGGCTCAGGCCGTGATCCCAGGATCCTGGTATCGAGTCCTGCATCAGGCTCCCCACAGGAAGCCTGCTTCTCCTTCTGCCTGTGTCTCTCATGAATAAATAAAATCTTAAAAAAAAAAACAAAAACAGTTGAGAGAGTTTGAATCCCATCTCAGGCATACACTAGCTATGTGAACATGAGTTAAGTTACTCAAACTTTCTGAGATCATTATTTCATGTATCAAATGCAGATAATAGTCCGCCAAAAAAAAAAAAAAAAAGATAATAGTCTGCCTTATGGGTCCGTGGTAATGATTAAAGAGATGACATGTTTAGTATCCACCATAAGTGTTCAAGAAATGGTACCGTTAGTATCTTCAAACATATCATCTTAACTATTACAAGCTAAGCATCATAACATTTTTGCAGATAAGTCTCAGCAAAACCACAGGATAGAATTTAGGATTTTTGTCTGATTCCTACCCCTATATTTTCCACTCTTAGGCTTTTTTTGTTGTTGTTGTTGTTTAAAGATTTTATTTATTTATTCATGAGAGACACAGAGAGAGAGAGAGGCAGAGACATAGACAGAGGAAGAGTTCCTGATATGGGACTCGATCCCAGGACACCGGGATCACGACCTGAGCCGAAGGCAGACACTCAACTCCTGAGCCACCGGGTGCCCCTACCTTTTTTTGGGGGGTGGGGGGTGGGGGGGGAATAAGAATGGTCTGGGGCACCTGCGTAGCTCAGTCGGTTAAGCATCTGATTCTTGATTTCAGCTTAGGTCATGATCCCAGGGTCATGAGATTAAGCCTGGGTCAGGCTCCTGCTGGGCAGGAGTCTGCTTAGGATTCTCTCTCCCTGTCCCTCTGCCCTTCCCACTCCCAACTCTCTAAATTTAAAAAAAAATTTTAAAAACGGGTAAGAAAAAAAAAAAAACGGGTAAGAACGATCTAAGAAGTTTCTCTTATCTTTCAGGGAAATTGACCAGGCAATGAAAATACTCAACTTAGAAAATGAAGGAAACCAAGAAATGCTTCAGGAGATCAAGAACAGGGTAAGTGCAAGCTGTGTTTTTAAGAGAAAATTCAGGGCTCTCAAGAGTTATTCAGAACCTTTTCTCCATCACAGAAATACTTTCTACAACCACAAAGGTACCATATTTTCTGAAGATACAAAACATTCATGCAAGATCAGATTATAAAATTCTGGTAAAAAGACAAAATAAAAATAATAGTCCTGTCAATCCTATAAGTAACCTTCAAAATGGGTTGTTCCTGAAATACTTATTTTTCTTTCCCTTCCCACTTTCTCCCCACCATCTACTAAATCCAAGTTATTCTTTTTTACAAGTAGACCTAGAGAAGGAATGAGTACCTGGAGTTAGCTCCCTTGTTTTTCTTCTTTTTAACTTTCCTTAATCTCTAACCTGGGCTTTTACCAAAGGAATGCTCTAGTTGAACAGGTAGTTCAACTAATTTTTCAAAGTTGCTAAATGAGATTAAGAAATAGAGGGAAAGGACTTTAGATTATTTTCACAAAACCAGCTTCACACCAAGCAAGCATTTCTTAGCAGATTCCTTTCATCATGCCCAAAAAGCTGAAGTAGGTGTTTCATGAAGTTATAAAAAATGTTCAACCAACATCAGAAGAATGCGCTGAGGCATTGTACCACCTAACACCAACAGGCACAATGCATTGTTCATGGTTTTTGATGATTTGCAGCCTAATGCAGGTTTTTTTTTCAGTATCTTTTTCTGATCTAGATTCAAACACTAAGCCAAAAGGACTTGCTGACACAGAAAATATTCAAGATGGAGAGGGTCATAGGAAAAGTGAAGGAGGAAGCAAAACGTGTTTACTTGCAACCCAAAGAGGGGCAAAAACCACTGAAACTCTGTACTTTACTACAAGAAACTTTTCAGGGTAGGTTTCCTAGGGGTGAGTCGTATGCCCTGACTCCTTTAACAAGCCTTTTCTGGGATCTGGACATTTGGGGAGTTTAGTTTCTAGCCCTGTAGGATGAGTCAGGAAAGGCTGCTACCTTTCCTTTTTGGCTACCATCCTCTCAGTCCTTTTATGTTTTTTCCTGCCTGCTCCCTGGATTGCTTTATGTGCTATTTTGTCCCTTTAAAAAAAGAAAAAAAGACGAGGTAGTTCTAATTGAATGGATTTGAAAGTCAAAGGTCGGGATGCCTGGGTGGCTCAGCGGTTGAAGCACCTGCCTTTGGCCCAGGGCGTGATTGTAGAGTTCCGGGATCAAGTCCCACATCAGGCTTCCTGCACGGAGCCTGCTTCTCCCTCTGTCTCTGTCTCTCTCTGTGTGTCTCTCATGAATAAATAAATAAAATCTTAAAAAAAAAAAAAAAAAAAAAGAAAGAGGTCAAAAAATGGGGTTAGGAAAACAAGAGTATGAACCAAAACAAAAACTACTGTTAAGTTTAAGCATCCAAACAAAGCCTTGTAAGTTTAACTTTTAATAGCAGTTACCTCTGGAAAGTGGGGCTGGAGAGAGAGCTATCACTTGATGTACATCCATGCTTTCGCAATTTCAAAAAACTTCATAAACTTCTAAACCTTATATAACTACACCTGTCAGTTATGGTGATAGGATCTTAAAGTTCCAGACACAACCCTAAATGAAGTGCAGACATCAAGCTATACCAAAATATACTTACAAAATCTGTGTGCCCAGGCGTAGCAGCAGCCTCAGATCATTCAGCTGCCTACCAGCCACCACCCCAAACCTAGGTCTTCTGGTTCCAAGTCCACTGCTCTCTCTCTGGTACACCAGGCTCTTTTCCACCAACCATGAGAACATTCACTTTCCAGGTTTGGGGAAGATTCCTCCAACTGCCAGAAAAAAAACGAGAGTGGAAAGTAACTTGCACACCAGCCTTCCTTCTTGGCCAGCTTGCTACAAGTTGGTTGACTGAGGCACAACCAGGTGACATGCTGCCCCTTTGGGAGCAATGCCAGCCACCGATGCAAGCCAAACACTGAGCAAAAACATAATATACTCTTAACTTTTCCAATAGGATTGTGCTGTTTGGAGTTCAAGTAGCATGACTAAAAGAAATTACCCCCAAAGTTATAAATTTGGCCCCAATCCTACAACCACCCCGTTACCTTTCACCTCAACCATTACAGATTTTCTCTATCTCCCCCCCCCTCAATTCCTTCAAACTATGTCACATAATAATCTAGCCTTTAAAAAGAGAAACATTATTTGGCACTTTAATAACTTTTCTAACATTCATACAAACGGTAACAAACAGGATACTGACCCCAACCCTCCCCCCCAACTGAGGAAAGAGAACTCAAAGGAAGGATGCAAACTCTAAATAAAAACTTCTAATGTCTCAAGCAGAATGACACAGCAAGTGCTATACAGTACACAGAAGCCTGAGGGTGATGATGAAGCTGGTGCTCTGAAATGATCAGGGATCAAAGAAATAACTGCTTTTTCCACCTCCAACTTCTGCTTTTACTTTTGTACCTAGATGAAGTGGTGATTCCTAGAAAACCGTCTGAAACTTGTGACATTAAAACAGTCATAAAGGTAAATGTGACCAGTCATAAAGGTAAATGTTTATCAAGGTAAGAACGAGTCCCCCCCCACAATCCCTCCCCAAAAAGGTGGTAAAGGTGGTAAGAGAGAATCACGGTCTTGCACCCAGCAAATAACAAGAAACTAGTTCAGGTTAGAGGCATCTTGGTGAGCAGCAGCCCCTTGTCATATAACATGGTTGCCAAGGAAAGCTGGTCCTCCACTGTGTCACAGGGCAAGTCCCCTACTCTCACAAACTCTGGGTAGGAGCGGAGCAAGAGTTCCATGGCATCAGCTTGCTGAGGGTATATCTCCAAGCACTTGGGTTCTTCCAGATGATAAACACGGGAGTTCTCCACTGTATAATAGAGAAACAAATGGCCTCCCTCACCCACCAGCCGAGCTATCCCATCCTGGAGCATGTGCACTTCTGTTTCTGTGGTTAACTGGGCCCCAACGTTTACAGGTTCTCCAGCCTCCCAGCGAATTGGGAGCCCATAAACACTTAGTGCCTTCTCCCTATCAGTCAACACAGGGGGCAGAGAGTCGTGGATGAAGTCTTTGGCTCGCTGGTCAGCCACAGCATCGACAGGGGCAAAGTGTCCCAAGCGGGCAACCAGGACTCGCACCTTCTCCATAAAAGCCGTTCTTCGTGGATCCTTAGAATCCGAATGCTGGGCTCCCATGTAATCCATGAAGTCTCGGGGGAGACCCCTTCGGAACTCCACGTTTTCTTCCATTGCAGCCTGCACTGCCAGAGGCAGTACGGCCTCCAGGAAGTCGCCCCAGGTATTGCGCTGGTACGTGGATAAGGTGAGGTGCAGAGAGTGCACACCATCCTGGCATTCGGCTTGGTGAATGAAGCCCCGGGGAAAATAGAGCAAATCTCCAGGTTCCAGCATAGTCTGCAGCACAGGCTCACCAAGGTCGTCCTGGCTGAAGTTGGGACTGGATGTCAGAGCCAGCTCCTCAGTCGGGACCCGGGGTCGGTACACACGCCAGAGTTTCCGACCTTCCAGCTGCAGCACAAAAGCCTCGATGTCGTCGTAGTGGGGAGCAAAGCCCTGCGAGTTGGGGGGCGTGAGGTAAATGTTGGAGCCCGCCATGCTCCCAAACTGCTCCTGGAGCACAGCCAGAAACTGCCACACGGTGGTCGAAAAAGCCTGCGGACAGAGAAGGCGCAGGGAGCAGCCGGCCTGGTACAAGGACCAAGCGGCGGCGGGGAGCGCGCGGCCGGGTGGGTTCAGGGTCTCGCGCCGCCCGTTGATGTAGCGAGCGGCGTCCAAGTGCTGCCCGAACTGCACCTCCTCGTGGCGCAGCATGGAGTCCAGGTCCGCGGTGGAGAAAAGCCCCTGGTAGTAGGCGTGGTCCTGCCGCCGCACGAGCACCGCCTCCCGCTCCCACAGGCGCCGGTAGAAATGGTCCGGCGGCATGGGCGAGATGAGCCACTCGAAGAGGCGCGCTGCCCGCCGCCGGCTGCTGGGGATGCGGTTCAGCTCGGCCAGGACGCGCTGCAGCGGGGAGTCCCAGGCCAGCTCCCCGCCCGTGCCGTCCACCTGCGGCCCCGACAGCGTGGCGGGGGCCGCGGACGGCGGGGCGGCCGCCAGGTGCTGGGCATTGCACAGCAGGGCCGAGGCTTCCACCACGCGGGGCGGCGCCGCGGGCACCTCCAGCAGGCGCGCGGGCGGCGCGGAAGCCGGCACCAGACGCGCGGACAGGGCGGGCGCCTCCACCAGGCGGGCCGGCGGGGTCGGGCCCTCCACCAGGCGGGCGGGCGGCGTCTGCGCCTCCACCAAGGCGCGGGGGGTCTGCAGGGAGCGGGCCGCGGGCGAGGCCTCCAGCAGCTCTGCAGGCCCCAGGTGGCCGTACGGCTCTCGCCGGGCCGCGTCGGGGATGGCCGCCGCCCCACCAGGCAGCGGGTCCCCCGCATCCTCGACCGTCGACTCCACCCTCGAGTCCTCCGAGTCCTCGCTCGGCAGCCTCTGGGCCCTCAGTGCGGCCATGCGGGACGCCACGCTTCTCCTCAGCTGCCTTCGGATCTTCCTGTGCCTCAGGGGCAGGGCGAGGACCGACCCGCTGTGCGGCTGCGGCTGGCGCCGGCGTCTCAACCGTCCGCGCCTCAGGAGCCCCCCGCTCGCCCGGAGCCCGTCCATGGCGGGACCGGTCGTGGAGGCCGGCGGGGCAGGCTAGAAATGGATCTCGCGGGGAGCGGCTGCGGGGCACTCTGGGAAAGGGGCGCGGCCTCCGGCCGCCTGCGGCTTGGCCACGCCCACCCCCGGCTCCTCCCCCTCGCCCTGCTGGCGGTGCGCGGCTTCTCTCCGCGGTAACGGTGTCTGTCCAGGGCGGATCTGCAAGGGTTCCGCGTTTGCGGAGCAGCTTAAAAACCAAGTTGCTGGGGACTTTGGGAGAAAGAAAGCTATTTAATTCTTCTTTCCTCCTTTAATCTCTATTTATTGGAGTGTTCCCTAGGATGTCCTCCTTTCTGAACAGCGTATTTCCCAGCAACTTTGCACGGGACAACGCACAATTCGTATTTTCAAGGAATGTTCTTGGGCAAAGCCCGAGATTCCTCAGGCAAAGTTCAAACCTCGGGTGCACCGGGTCTTCTTTCTCAGCAGATGACGTCAGTAATTGACTCCCCAATTTCCTTCCTTCCTTTGACCAATACAAAAATTTCAGTCATGGGGGAGGTGCGTCTGGCTGGCTCAGTGGGTAGAGCAGAGCGTGTAATCCTTGATCTCAGGGTTGTGAGTTCAAGCCCCACGTTCGGGGTGGAAACTACCTTAAAAAAATGAAGAATGCGGGGATCCCTGGGTGGCTCAGCGGTTTAGCGCTTGCCTTTGGCTCAGGGCGCGATCCTGGAGTCCGGGTATCGAGTCCCACGTCGGGCTCCCGGCATGGAGCCTGCTTCTCCCTCTGCCTGTGTCTCTGCCTCTCTCTCTCTCTATGTCTATCATAAATAAATTAAAAATAAATAAATAAATAAATAAATAAATAAATCTTTAAAAAAAATGAAGAATGCAAGGATAGGCAAAAATCTCAGTCATTGCCCTATGATATGGGAAAGAAGAGCTTTTCTACTTTGATTCTTGACATCTGTCCTTTCAACCCCATCTGGGATTTTTTTTTTTCTCACTTGAAAATTTTATTGGTCAGGGAGAAAGGAAGTCAGGCAGCCCCCCCAGCTTCCCGCCCAGGGTTCCACAAGCTCTCACTGCTTCCCGTTGCCATTGATGGGACGGTTCACGTGCTCAGGGGACGACAGGAATGCCTTGAGCTTGGGTCTGGCGCTGAGGCGCACCACATAGGCCGAGAGCAGGGGGAAGGAGTCCAGGCAGCTGGGGGCCAGGACCCGGTGAATCAGCAGCAAGTCCAGCAGGTTGTAGTCGGCGAAGGAGATCTGGTTGCCCACGATGAAGGCCTGGCCCCCCTCATCCTGGGACAACAGCATTTCAAAAGGCTTCAGGTAACCTGGTAGTGCCTTCACATACTACTCCTTTCCTGCCTCATAGTTAGTGTAGATGAGGAGGGCATATTTGCAGCGGAGATCCTCCACACCATCGTTCACTACATCCAGCAAGGCCGCCTCCTGCTGGTCCTTCCCGTAGAGCCCAAGGGAGCGGCCCAGGTGTCGCAGGATGGCATTGGACTGGTACAGGGTGAGGTCTCCGTCCTGGAACTTGGGGAGCTGCCCATACAGACAGGAGGCCTTGAGTGAGCCCTTCATCCAGGTCTCCATGGTCACCACCTCCTCCTTCCAGCTCTGGTCTGGCCCTGGTCAGCCAGCAGCATGCGCATGGCCTCACAGCGCCCTCGAACAGGGAAGTAGATGATGGTGTAGGGTGGCATGGTTGCAGCGCGGGTGGCAGTGGCGGTGGCTTCGGCGGCAGCAGAGCTACCATCTGGGATTTTGTTTCATTAGCAATGACTTCTCTCAGAATCTTGGATCACACCTTCTCTGAATCTTAAGCTGACCTCTTAGATCTGAGGCTCTCATTTAACAGGCACTATTAAATGTGGTAGACATAAAGGTGTAATTGTTGACAATAGAGCAGTCACTATTCCATGTAAACATTGTTGCTTTGTACATAAAGATTACATGTCTTCATATGAATCATTTGAGATAAATTTCCAGGAATAGAATTGCTGGGTATAAGGGCAAGATAGTGTCTGTGATTGTTAATAGGTTTTACCAAACTTCTTTCAAAAGGAAAAAGGATTTGCCAAGGAAATAAAATCTGTAAAAAGAAATGATAACAATAAATAAATAAAATCTTTAAAAAACCTTAAATAAATAAGTCTTTTAAAAAAGGGGGGTAGTTTGCTAAGGGACGCCTGGGTGGTTCAGTGGTTGAGCGTCTGCCTTAGGCTCAGGTTGTGATCCCAGGGTCCTAGGATTGAATCTGCCATCGGGTGCCCTGCAGGGAAGCTGCTTCTCCCTCTCCCTATGTCTCTGCCCCTCTCTCTCTCATGAATAAATAAATAAAATCTTTAAAAAATAAAAGGGGGAGGTTGCCAAGTTGTCTTTCTGAAGAGTTTACAGTGTTGCAAGCAATTAGTAGGTTAGACTACATGGCTTATAGGGCCTTTTCAGTGGTTCTGTTTGATCCTTCAATCCTCTTCAGTCACACTTCTATCCAAACACTTGCCAAAGCTGGGATGCCTGGGTGGCTCAGTTGGTTTCATATCTGATTTCTGCTCAAGCTCTATGTCAAGCTCCATGTCTGGCTCTCCTCCTCCCTCTCCCCCTGCTTGCTCGCTCACTCTCTATTAAAGAAATGAAATCTTAAAAAAAAAAACAAAAAACTTGCCGTAGCTTTTAGGTTTTACCCCTGCCCTTGTGTCACATTCCCCCTTTAAAATTTCTGACTGTGGGTGGCTCAGCAGTTTAGTGCCGCCTTCAGCCCAGGGCGTGATCCTGAAGTCCCAGGATCGAGTCCCACGTCAGGCTTCCTGCATGGAGCCTGCTTCTCCCTCTGCCTCTGTGTGTGTGTGTGTGTGTGTGTGTGTGTGTGTGTGTGTGTGTCATAAATAAATAAAATCTTTAAAAAATAAATAAAATTTCTGACTGTAATATGGTCTATTACAATGATCCTCAACTGGGGCAATTTTGCCTCCCAGGAAACACTGGGGGTGGGGGTGGAATGTTATAATATGCACTGGGTAGAGGCCAGAGATGCTGTTAAACACAGTGCTGGGACACCCTGCCTGCCCCCCCCCAACTATCTGACCCAAAATGTCACTCGTGCTGAGACCAAGAAATCTTGGTCTATTGTAGTCTCCCAACTGCTCTCTAACTTTGATCTCTCCCTGTGCCAGTTTATAACACAAGTAGCAACAACATTAATTTTCTCAAGTTGTGGCCCCAGACTTGCCATTGCCCCTCAAAAACTATCTGGCACTCCATCAACCAATCCAAGCTCCTTAGCTAGGTTCTGAAGTCATGTAATGTTACAGCTTTCTCAGTCACAACTCCCCTAAGCTCTACTTCTAGAAGTTCAGCTATTTGCTGTTCCTTGCCAATGTTCACTGTACCTTTACTCATGCTGTTTCCTCTAAATGCTGTCCTCCAAACATCTGCAAAATGCTTATTAAAGCCTGTTTCACATTTCATCTCTTCCCCAGTCTCTCCCATCTCTCTAATCACAAGAACTTTGACCCTTTCACGGGAAAGGGTCTTGTATTTGTATTTGTATATAATGTACTGGTTATTTTCCTTCCTAAACTGTAAACTTTCCAGGATGGTGGGATTTCAAGGAAACAACTTCCATATGCCTTTTTCTCTTGAGTATAGTATACTGCCTTTCACACAGAGGGTGCACAGGAAATGTTTGTGGGAAGCTGACCCACAGAATTGATTCCTTCTTACTCATTATCTGTGGCATTAGCTGAGTCAAGTTCCTCTCTCAGGTCTCAGTAATCTCATCTGTAAAATGGGAATAATAATTGAAACTACTTCTTCATTGAGTTGTGAGGGTAAAATAATGCTTATAAGGCACTTAGCACAGGGTCTAGTATAGCGCTAAACACTTAAAAAATGGTAGCTATAGGGACTCCTGGATGGCTCAGTGGTTGAGCATCTGCCTTTGGCTCAGGTCATGATCCCAAAGTACTGGGATTGAGTCCCTCATCAGCTCCCCACAGGGAGCTTGCTTCTCCCTCTGCCTATGTCTCTGCCTCTCTGTGTCTCTCATGAATAAGTAAATAAAATCTTTTAAAAAATGGTAGCTATAGGAATAATAATTTATTAGTATGGAGCAAAGCCCTGTAAGACAATTTGTGTGCCCTGGCCCAGTTTGGAGGAACTTGGAGTGGGGTGAGACAGGAAGTTCTTGAATTGGACAAGGTGACAGATGGAATGGGGAGATTAAAATTATTTTTGCATATGCTCTATAAAAGTTTAAGTAAATCAGCCAGCACCATATCAGAGAAGGCCATTGTGTAAGGAACTGCTCTGCTGGTTACCAGACCAAGAGTTAAAGTATGAGCTTGGGAGGTTCGGGGGGAAGTGTGGAAGTATGAGGTGAGAACAAACGATATTCTCCCATAATCTGTGCCCTAGTTTAGGGCTGCAGTGTCTGGAAGTAACAGCAGGGGGGAGCCCTCTTCCTAACTGACACACAGGCTGTGTGTGCTGGCAAGGCCATAAAATCAGATCCCCTGGGGCAGTGTTGAAGAGGGCAGGTCTGGTTTGTCACTGGGAGCTTAAATTGCCTTTTCAGGGAGAGTGGTTTTCAATAGGCTTGGGGACTTACCCTACACTGAACCAGGGGGATGCACTGTGCTTCTCGGCTCACAAAGCTGGGGTAAAAACTCAGCTTGAAGAGGGCTGTAAATTTATCTTTTCCACAGGAGATCCTGTACAAGCATCTCCTCCCAGTCCTTCCTGTGACCTCATCTTTTTCTTTTTGAAACATTTTGTGATTTCCTCAAATAAAGAACATTGTTGCTATCTGTCTTCTAGATTCCCTTGTAACTGCTAGGCATCTTTTGGAGGCTGACTTATTTTAAATTTCATCACTTTTCCTGTGCTGCTACTTAGTTCTCACTATAAGAGCAGGTATCAATAACCATCTTCAGAAATACAATTGAATGACATGGAGTGATATTCTTAATGTATCTTTAGGTGGGAAAAAAACAGACAAAATAAGTATTGCAGTAGGATCCCATTTGGGGGACATTTATGCATGTATACTATGTATATGTATACCTACCTATTTATCCATATATCCATACTGTTAAAAAACAAAATTTGAATATATTTGAAT